TATATATGCTCTATTTGGCTAACTGTATATACAATGATGTGTAGGAAGAAGCTGACTATGGACCAGATTCATGATATTCACGGACTGCGTTTGATTGTTGAGAACGAGGAAGACTGTTTTAGAGCTCTTAAAGTTGTTCATCAGTTGTGGTCTGAAGTGCCTGGAAAGTTCAAGGACTATATTCATTGTCCAAAATGCAATGGGTAAGCACCATAAGCTATTTGTTATTTTGTTAAATGTATGAGTATGACAAGGTAAACATTACGGAGTATTTTTGCTGATTTATTTCTTAATTTATATTCTTTGTTGTCTGTAGATACAAATCCCTTCATACAGTTGTGGTCGGTGAAGGAATGGTTCCACTTGAAGTTCAAATACGGACTAGGGAAATGCATCTACAAGCAGAGTATGGATTTGCTGCGCACTGGAGGTATAAGGAGGGTGAATCTCAACACTCCTCATTTGTGCTTCAAATGGTGGAGTGGGCTAGATGGGTCGTCAACTGGCAGTGTGAGACAATGAACAAGGACAAACCATCAATCGACTATGCTGATTCCCTCAAGCCACCCTGTAAATTCCCAACTCATGCTGAAGGGTGCCCATATTCCTACAATGCTCAGTCTAATGAAGATGGACCTGTATTTGTTATCTTGATAGAGAATGAAAAGGTTTGTCTTTTGATATTCCACCTTCTATCTTTTCTAGTTTGGACAACAATGTCATATGTTTCCCATGTTTGTGATTAATTTAGTATGTGGTGTTGTGGTTTGAAAATTCGAAGGAGACTGTAGGGGTAGTCATATGGTTTGGAAATTCTAAGCTTTATTGGCACAATCAAAACTCCTTGTCCTCCCTCTATATTGCATCGAGCCTGTAGCCGAATATAGCTTTCCATATTATGTGTCGTCTTAGTAGTTATTTTAGTATGTGGTCTGAAACATTTTTAGGAAGACTTAATTTGGTTTAGAAGGGGATTCTAAGCTGACATCGGTTCACTCAAAACTCCCCTGTCCTCTCTCTACATTACATGGGGCCTATGGGCAAAATATAGCTTTTCCATGTTACTTCTGTGTGTGTTTCCTATTTGTTTGGGATACTCGAATCCCAGTCGAGGTTGAACCTTAATAGAGAGTTGGTATTTTTGATAACCGACCTGGATATATGGTTGTATTGATTGATAGTATGCTTCTCTAGTGTTCTTGTTTTTTTTTTTTGTTTTTTTTTTGTTTTTTTTTTTTGTGGGAGTAAAATAGCAGTTGTATGCAGAGACAGGAAGCTGTTTATAGAGTGATGCTAAATTGTGTGTTTAGAATGGCATAGCTGTATAGGATATGTATAATTGAAACTGTTATTCGGATTAAGCTCCCTTTACTGTCATTGCAGTAACTGCTTGAAATATCGTTATTTCTCTGTTAGTTCTCAGGTCTGTGCATTTATGAGTTTGGCATGTTTCTTCATTTCAGATGTCTGTTCGCGAATTCCCCCCAAACTCCACCATGATGGATCTATTAGAAAAGACAGGCCATGGTAGCCCCCGTTTGACTTATGGTTTCCCCATGAAGGAAGAGTTGAGGCCTCGGCTGAACCATCATCCTGTTAGTGATCCGACGTGCAAGCTGAAGATGGGAGATGTGATTGAGCTAACTCCAGCGATTCCTGACAAGTCTCTGGTTGAGTACAGGGAAGAGATTCAGCGCATGTACAATCGAGGTCTATCGGTATCAAAACCTGCCTCTGCTGTCACAAGTGCCAGTGTGGTTGGCTGGAGTAGTTGACAATGAATGCTGATGTATCTTTAGTTGTAGACTTGTAGGACTACGGTTGAATAACACAATCTGTTCATGTAAATATATCATCTGTACAGAAAAAAATTTATGTTCTTTAATTTGTATTGTGGGTATATAAAATTGTGGCTAACTGAATCTGATTAATTGAAGAAATGAAAAGATTGAAAAAAGAAATTATATTCCCACACATTGCATGGCATTGTCTTTATTATTCATCTCCTCTATATGATTCGGTTATTGTTACGGTTTGTTTGGTGACTTAGTTAACACAGTGACCCTTTTCCAGGCTTGAATACTACATCACAGGGTATGCTAGTCAGCTGCTGAGAGGAAATTGCTATCTGATTATATGGTACGTCTAACTAATGACCGAGATCGTGAGTATATACTATAAATAGAAGTGTATAAACATGGGTATTAATACCGCCCATACCGGGCGTAGTATTGACCTTATTGTAACGAATCAGAAGTTCTTATTGGCATAACTCTTGAAATCGTTATGTTGGCTAGTAGTTACTGAAACCCCCATATGCATGTCAGCTGCGGAGAGTTGTTCACTAATTCCATGATCGATAAAATTTTGTTTTTCGAGTTAAACTGTGTATTAGCTACAAATCATATTCTCTTTCAGATAATCTGATAACTGAAATATAATTGCTTTTGAATTCTGATAAGAATAACAATGAGCATGATCAAATTTCCATAATTCTGCAAAAGAAAACTGTATATTACTGAACCTTTATATATTTTGAATTACATTATGAAGTCACTAAAATAGACAGATTTATTGATCTGAAACAGAAAACACAAGTGTAGCAGGCACTCAGACAGTTAGCCACAGGACTGTAGTGTTTCCTCTCATCTCCAAAGAAAATGTTGAACAGAGTCTTGCCAGGACAATACAAGCATCAGCATGACTAGAACCCCAGCAAGCCCCCACGACGAACCCCCAACCCTAAACACCGACGAAGGATCTGATGACAGGATTGTTCTTCGCAATCCTGTCACTGACGAGGATGATGGTGATGAGGTAGTTTTTATCGCGATTATAAGTCCTGCTAGAACCATAGGCAGAACAAAGCCAGAGTTCCATCTTATGTCATATCGTGTATCGTTGCTCTTTGTGTTGTACAATGGGGATAGCACCACAGCTGAAACGAATGCTAATGCCATAGCTATCGGTCTTTGGGATGAAATTTGGCTTGTATACGCGTAGGTGCTAGTCGTACAAGCCATATTTGGTGGTTCTTAACGCGTAAGAAACACCAAAAGATGAAAAGATGAATGATGAAAGAGTGGAGGAGATTAAGAATGGTGAAGAGGGGCTTATATAGAGGATGAGAGGGGGTATTAGACGAAGGAATATGGCTGTAAAGTATGGAGTTTTGGGTGGAAAAAAGACATAAAGTAGCCGTCCATAAAGTTGGCAAAGGAGGGAAAGGTAACGAACATATTGATTGACATTGGGATGTGAGAAGGATTTGAATTAGAGAAGTTTTGGAGGTAAGGTATATACTTCACTTTAGTAGATTCTAGAATTCTTGCTTTCACATACAAGTAAACTCTTATACAGTGCAATAAGCCACGGCTAGAGTTACTTATTAGTGAATCATGTTAAATTGTTAATACATAGAGTTGAAATACCCACAACGAAATACTTTTATTGGTTGTTTGGATTACATTTTATATACAGTAGGTTTGCTCATACATTCATCTAACCATGAAAAATTATTATGATCTTTGTAAACATAAACTACGTATATAATTTAAAGTTACCAAATATATATCCATCTTTAAATTATTCTTAAGTTACATGTTAAGCTTTCTCTAGCCACAAAATTGGAATTTAGAAAATAACTATAGAGGGGGTTGCTGAACGCCTAAACCTAATAAGTTCAATTATCTATGTTCAATAAACTAAAACTTAAATTAGGAGCATACAAGATGAGACTAATGGAAGCTTTATATTGCTATGCGCCTATGCTAATTAATTTTTATAGAGTACATAAATCAAATTTGGACTTTAACTGTAGTGTCAACTCTAGCTTTTGACGTATACTCTATCAAAATATCACAATAAGAATGAGGAAACATGACATAAAATTAAAACTTGTGGAGCGTAATTATCGCTATGGTGATTGATAGGTATGGACAACGTACATGATAATCTCAATAAATTAATTAATTGTTATGTTGTCCTCCTATATTAGATATCATCAACCTTAAAATTTTCAGAACAACCTTCATTTCGAATTTAAAATATACATAGATCTATCTTTTTTATCCATATCACTGTTTCTTTTCCCCAGCTTTCTTCATATTAAAAACTAATATAGTGATAATACGGTTCCAAAACTTCCAATGCAACAATAGTAGTTTAATACTACGCGTAATTTTCCAAAAGCAATTAACAAACTAAACAGAATACAACACTCACAAAGTCACATGCATGTACTACATAAAAGTTATCATTTTTTGGACGTTAAAGCTACAAAACTACACATTCAACCGTCATGTTTATGCCTTTAATTTAATGTTTGTGACTTTAGTTTATAAAAGAAGATACTTGCTGTTTCGGGTGAAAACAATGGGACCTAGCCGAAGGTCCGATGAAGTGGATGAAGACTCGTCCGGTCCAAGTAGTGCTGGACTGAAGGTTTCCTGCACAGCAAACACACGTAAACTGGCCTCGGGGGTGGATCCGAGGAAGACCCCTCCGATGCCGAAGTCAAACAGTGTTTAGAGAGAAAAGCTATGCAAGAGAGTTAATGCTTGAGGCTTTAGTTGTGAATGTCCCATAAATGGTAAGATTGAAGGCTTTTATACCTTAGCATGACAAAGGGATGAGAATGAATGGGCCAGACTTAGTCACGGGCTGACCATGACAATTTGGGCCGCTTGACTTTATGTTGACTTGGCTTAATGGAGACTTGGGCCTTGACCTTGGAATATTGGATCATTTAATGACTAGACCCAATTGGCTTAATTGGACCCGAACAACTTGCTTACACAATACACCTCATTTTAATCTAAATAATTCCCAACATAAGCTTAAAACTCGCTTAAGAAGTTACAAACTCTCACCTTAGGCTTATTTCATGGGATCAACTGATCATATTCCTTCATCATCATATAATTAGTATTATATTTTTATAATATAAGGTTTTTTCATTATATATATATATATATATATGTAACAAACAAATTAGACTATATTAGAATCATTGAATCAAGAAGAGATACTAAAAGGTTGGAGATTTATAAAATGGGTTATGCTAAGGATTTTGGCCAATATCTCATCAACTTGTTCATAGTTATAAAAAAAGTTATCTATAACGTAATAAAGTTTAATAAACCGCCTATATTTTATCCCATAGGCCTTTTTTTACTCTCTAATTACTACTATTATTGTGGCCTCTCTCCATGCATGGTTGATTTAGATGATCAAACTACTATGCATTTTTGGATCTCGAATTATAGACGTCATGATCGCCCTAACTTAGTCCTCGTCCATGGTTGTGGTGGTGAAGCGCGGTGGCAGTTTTGCCTTCAGGTTTGTATGTTAAACTATGTGCTTAATTTCTTGCTAATTATTCTTGATTTCAATCCTAAAAAACCCTCATATTCACTTTAAAGGGTAAATTTTGTGACTTGGACAAATTTTTTAGATGAATGTACAAGTTTATATTTTTTCTAACAACCATTTGCTAATTGATTACCTAGAATTTAAACGTGCGTTACCTTATTATAAACACGTACAAAAATTGAGCTTATTTGTCTCAAACTTTATAAGTAATGTAGTAAAATCTTTCCAAATCATGTTTGAGCAGATAAGAGAACTATCCAAATTATTCAACATATACATACCAGATTTGCTATTCTATGGAAAGTCATACACCACAAACACAGACCGAACGCCTCGTTTCCAAGCCAAGTGTATAATGGAAGGGCTAAAGAAAGGGTTTGGTGTAGAGAAGTGCACAGTTTACTCAATTAGTTATGGAGGTTGGGTGGGCTACTTCATGGCTGAGATATACCCTGACATTATAGAGAAGAACGTGATCGTTAGCTCCGGCGTAGGAACGACCGATGACGAGAAGGTTGCGCAGCTAAGTAGGGTTGGGAAACAACCAGAGGAAGTGATTAAAACGGTTGTACCAAAGGACCCTGATGCTATTAGATTGTTGGTTGAAAAATCTATATACAAATATGATCCTACACTTTTAGTTCCTGATTTTATACTTTGGGAATTCATCAAGGTCAGTTATATTTTACTAATCATATACTTCATCTTTTATTGCACCATTTGCTTTTTACCGTCTTCAATGCATTAATTTAATAGTAAAAAGTTATTACTTATATACATATTGAGACACTTTTAACAAGAATTACTCGACAATATTTTCTTTTATATAATAGCAAGAATTTATGGGTCAAAAATTTTCAAGTTTGACTATTTAAAGAGAAATGGTGCAACCATTATTTTTAGTCATGCTGAAAATGATATAGTATTATAAATCATGTAGTTATTAAATTTGTTGCATTTTAGGTAACAGAGCATAAGAACAGGGAGGAAAAAGAAGAGCTTCTTAGAAGTTTGATATCTGGAGAAGTAGACTCCGCGGTTTCTGCTTTGCCACAGGTAAATTAATTGAAAACAAGAAATGACATTTAATATTTTGTTCGGACTCTTTTTTTTATCTTAAGTTTTCGTGTTAGAATTCATTACATGAACAATTTTTTTTGAAACAACGGAATTTGGTGCAACATATGTTTGTCGAGTACCCTTTGAGTAATCGTATGTGTTTGGTAATATTATATTGTAGGAAACACTTCTTGTATGGGGTGACCAAGACTACTTTTTCCCCAAACACATAGCTCATCAGCTACAAAGGTCAATCACTAAACTAGTAAACCCCAATTTAGTTTATGGAGTAATTCAAGAATTTTATAGAAGACTAACTAGTTTATGATTGTGATTATAATGGACTAAATTTGCAGGAAATTGGGGCCTAAAGCAACGTTAACGATAATTAAGGAAACCGGGCATGGAGTAAACATGGACTCACCATATGAATTGAATGAGTTGATCAAAACATTTGTATTTGGTCAATTACATAAATAGTAGAAATGAGCGGCTGATTAGTGAATTGATTTGGCAATTTCTACTCAAGTTGTATTTATCTACTCAACTATTTATGCTTTTGCAATGATTAATTTTTAATTAGCCATTTCTTCAATGAGATGAACAGTTGACTTAATTACTCAATATGATATTGAGTTATTCAATAATTTTTGTAATTTTTTCTATACACACACCTTTCTCGTAAAAAGTTCCCTAATTGCTACTCAATTAAGTATATATACAATTGTTATTCACCCATAATAACGCACATAATTCATCACAAATTTGTAAAGGAAATCGACGTAAAAACTTAAAAAGTTATGTAATTTTATTTTCATAGAAATTGGAGACTAGTTTTGGAGATTTGTGGTTGAAAGTTAGCGAAATTATCATTTTATTAATACGAAATACTACCTTCGTTTCTTTTTAGTTGACACGTATTTCTTTTTAGGAAGTTCTTTTTTTAGTTGACACGTTTTCTTTTAGGGTAAATTTTATATCTTGCATTTATAAGTTATTCCACTTGCTTTTTCATTCTCTCTCACTATCTCTCCTCTACTTTATATATGTACCTAAATCAAATGCGTCAATTAAATGAAAACAGAGGAAGTATAAAGATTTGTTTGATCAACTCAAAGAGAATTTTTATTTTATTTTATTTTATTTTAATGGCTATTGGGCTTTAAAAACTAAGCCTTAGCATTTAAAATTTGGACCAAGCAAATCATATTTACTTGGACCAAGTTAATAATTTGTACATTGTACTACAATAAATAGTCATGTTTTTCATTTCTCCTAACTTTGATCATTGATCCAAACTTAGCCCATATTCATCCAATTATCCACTTAGTAAAATTACGAAACTGCCCAAACCGCCGACCGGTACATATTTATCTCCGACGGCTTCACTTTCTCTCTCATCACAATTCAACCAACAATGTCGGCGGGAGACCAAGCAGCGGCGGCGATTGCGGCGCAGCTACTTCTTGCCGGCGACGGCGCGTGTCTAGGTTTAGCCCTAGGTTACGTGGCAGTTCGAAGTCTCACCAAGTTCGCCGCCACGTCATCGGCGTTCCGGAAAATACGGGAAGCACCTTCCGTACAAGTGTCGGATCTACGGTACTTGCTTAAGGATGATTCAGATGAAGGAGAGAGAAATTCCGAGGTTTTGGTGGTTGTACGAGGTTTGGTTGCGTCGAAGTCGGCGGTTAATGGAAGTTGGAAGAGTTTTTGGCCTGATGTTCTTGTTTCTCATGAATCTGGTGATCGTGGTGTTGTTCTTCAGCGATCTCAGAAGGTATAATTCATCATTTTCTGAAAATTTTGTGAATTTTAAAATTGTTGTTGGTTTTAGTCGAAGAATTTGTGGGAAGTTTTCGAAGTTAGTATGATTTGCGTTGGAAATTAAATTTTGTGAAATTGTTGATTTTATATGCTTTCATGATTGGTAGAATGAGAACTATAAGTATGATTGGTTTATTTTGGGTGTTTTTTCTGTAGGATGAACTGTTATTATGAATTAGGGATTATATATATATATATATATATATATATATATATATATATATATATATATATATATATATATATATATATATATATATATATATATATATATATATATATATATATATATATATATATATATATATATTGTTTTATCACTTGAAATGGGATGTTTGATTACTTGTTAGTTTTAATTATCGATTTGATGTTATTGTTTGGTTTAAATTTAAATTGCAATCGACTATTTTAGGGAATGTTGTGGAGTACTGACCTTGTTTGGATTGTTAGTATTCTTAGAAATGACTGATAATGGTATTATTTTAGTCGACCTGTGTGCTAAGTGTGACAAGTATGTTGGATGTAGGATAGTCATTTTGAAGTATCATAAAATGAAAAGTTGGATTAGGAAGTTAGATTGGAGGATGAGTTTGGTAATCATGAGTGTACAGAGAAGAGGAAGGATGAGTTTGGGAATTATGAGTGCACAGAGAAGAGGATTGAGATCATAATGCATTCAGAAAATTGATGCCAAGGTCTTATATATTTTGCTGTGATGGGGTGGTTGCGAGGCAAGACAAGAGCGAGTTTAGAGGAGTAAATAGAAACTAGTTACCATAACAATTTCAATATTGCTACTTTGTATGTATGCTACATTGCTACTCCATTCAGATCCTTGTTTAGCCGTAGGATTTTATCTGATAAAGAATTTATGGAGGTTAGGTCCATAAAACTCTGAGCTTTCTGCTGATGCTTGTCTTGCTGCCATTGCATTATAGTTAATCTTCAGGCATCAGCAGATGTTTCAGTCAGTCACTAACAGTCTATGACCTAGGACCTACTGCTGGGGGATATTGTTAAGGGTTGTTAGTAGTATTGGCCCCTGTTCATGATGGTTCTGTAGTAATAGAGTCTAGAGGTAAGCAGGGATAATACTGTTTCTTGTTGCTGCAATTTTGATTCGCTATCTGGTGCAGATTTAAATTGAAAAGATGGCAATGAAGTTGACATTAATTAAGTGTATGTAGTTCCCTTAGTAACTTACTAACCTTAGGTATAATGTACTATCTTGTTCATTGCACTGTTTTAAAGGTGGTCACTGATCAGTATTAATTAGTGCTATTGGTGCTTGTAATGATTTGAGTTTGTGTTATGGAGCTTTAGAGAGCCAACTGGATTATGAAATTGTTGAAGAGGTAGTATCTTTTTGTCATCATAGTATGCTTTTGCTATTCTTGGATGTGATCGTGGCCATTTCGTAGGGTTGTTTTCTGGAGAAGGTGTGCATTAAGTACTGAATAGTTTAGTTAGGCTACAGGTTTGATGGCATTGCGCATATAGCAATTACTGTCGTGCCTTAGCATTGGTGAGGAAGTAGCTTGTTATGTCTTGTCATTGGTGAGGCAGACACTTGCACGGGCACATAGGCATATGTGTGGGCAGTAGATTGGTGCAATAGGTGTGTGAACTATATGATTCCAGTGAAGAATTACTTTGGCCTTGCATGAAGTACCAGATTCAAGCCTGAAGCCCACAGTTGCCCTAACTATGTATCATGTACTTGTGGTATTTAAGAAGCCTCAAGTTTTACTTTCTCTTTTCTTTTCTATGTGTAATTGACACTATATTTCCTTGCTCTAGTAGCTAGTTATATCCAACTAGGACTTTTTTCCCCCTGGTATTTACAGCCATATTGCCCATATATAAGGCCCATAGCGTGCTACTTTATACAGTTTATGCAATTTTGGTATCTTATCTAAAAAATAAGATCTAATATCTCTGCAAACCTGTGCTTTAAGTTTGTTTATTATTTGATCCTTTTGATTGATTTATTTATTATTTTTTTCCCCATCCATTTTATTCAATAACTTTTACCGGTTTTGTTATCTCTGTTTGAGATTAGTTAAAATCCTAGCTTGTTTTCATTGTCAGTTTGTATGTATCTCTTCATTCCTCTTTTGAGTTATATGGAAATTTATGGAGGATTTATGAGCTGTTAAGTTACAGTTGTACAAACATTTTTGACATAATAATGTGGTGTTATGTGCTAAAAAAACCTTTGCCATAAGAAGTGAATTTTACTGTTCTACTGAAATATTGAAGATTGATACAATGATACGGAGTGAATGTTCTTCTTTACTTTTTTTGAGGTAGGCATAAATAGGTGTTTTTTTCTTTTTCGAAAGATTCATTTTTTTTTTTTTAGTTTAGTTTTTTTTGCGAATGTTGCGATGCCGATGCTGAATTAATATAAATCTCACATGTTATCCTTTATGTGCTTTCCACTGTAGGAGTTTAATGTAATTATTTCAGATCTGCTATAATTCTTGTTATATGCTTAAAGGTACTGTAAACTCAACAATTTCCCACTAGCTGTGGTTTTATGAATATTCTTTTTATTTGTTCCATTGGATAAGAAAAAGAGAGGGGGGGGGGGGGGGGGGGAGTCATGTTTGGGTCTCTTTATTAAAGCTTGAGAGGAATTGGGTTTTATAGAGTTATGGCCAAGTTGCATCTTGATACTTTCAGTCAGCTATTTGGCATCAGTGACTTGTATGTTTGACGATGCAGCTATATTTATTTCTTCACATCGTGCAAATTTAATAAAATTATCTCTTATGTCTATGAGTCTATCATTTTATTATATGATTGAAAAGAGATAGTAAACTTGTTTGTGAGATTTCTCTTGAATCTACTGTAGTATAATTTCCCTTTTCGTGTTGTATCTAATTTGGTCATTACTGTGATGTGTGAAGTGTATATACAACGAATGGAGAGGATTTTTTGGATGGTATCCTGATTTACGCGCTGTCTTGGCCAAAGCCTGGAGAGAACCGGGAACAACATCCACAAGAACGGTAATTTTCAGTTGGCCCTGTGATTCCTATATAGGGTAACTTTTTCTCTGCTTTCTTTCTCATGTTGATATGTTTAGATCGGAAATCTCAGTCTTGGCCTAAACAGGAATTTTGCTTCATGATTAGTGCTGTTTTTGTTTTGCAATAGTGTTTGTATTGTTTTGCAATAGTGTTTGTATAGGTACGAAGGGTGGAAGAGTGGGATCATGGAGAGGTTAAACGAGGTAGAGGGAGACCAAAAATGACTTGGTTGGAACTTGGAAGGAGTTAGGAAGGATATGAAGCATATGGATTTGTATGAGAATGAGGTATTTGATCGTAAAGGATGGAGGAAGATTTTTGTGGATGACTATTCGGAATGATCCTTTTGGTATATCTAGCCAACCCCACTTATGAAATTGAGGCTTTGATTGATTGTATAGGTTTTATATTGAGTATTAAGTATGCAGCCGGATGAACTCATCTATTAGTTAACTATGGTGAATTTTTGGTAAAGCCTTACCCTGACAAAAACTGCTAAACGCGGTAAATCGAATTATCGAAATGCAAATTTTAGGATATTTAGTGACCTTTTTCGAGAATGTAGCAAGCATATTTTCAGCCATCTTCATGCATTATGTTCTGTTTTTATCTAAAAGGTCAAATTTGAACCATATCTAGGATCTAAGGATTCTGTGTTAGCTTTTTCTGGTGTATTTCTTTCGCTCTATATGTAGATACATAGATTAACAAAATTTCTAATAAAGTGAAAGGATGTAAGAAAAATGTTGATATAGTAGCAAGATGGAGTAAAATGGTAAGCAGGTGTTAGAAAAAGGTAGATAAAGTTAGAGGGAGTGGCATTATGGGTAGTCTAATAATATTAGCTGTAAAACAGAGACTAATTGACAGTGTAAAAAGTGAGACAGTGCCCAATAGTGTGGGCGGCTCGGCGCTAATGAAAATGCAATAATGTTTTTTGATATAACTGTGCAGCAACCTGAAATATGTAAGCATAACATTGTGCAGCTAATTCAAATGAAGAATTGTTTTCCTATCTTATCTTTTTAAGAATGTTACATCTTTATATACTGAAGAATATGACTTTGTTGAGTTCATCCTAATGACTACGTTAAAATGAAGTTTGTCATTGTTTTTATTTTTTAATTTTTTTTCAGATCCCTTTTGTTCTTGTTGATGGCCGTCAACAGTCACACTCTGATTATGTTGTGGTTGACTTGGATGATTCAAATCATCCACTGCCTTTAACTACAGTCTACCATCATATGGAACCAATTCAGGCTTCTCCATATACCTTTCTCCAGGCACTTTTTGGGCATGAATACCCTGTAAGTTGTTAACTTTGCTGTTCACTTGATTATACCTTTCATTTCCCCTTTTCTTTCTCCCAATCTTCAACTTCTATCAACCCCCCACCCCCTGGCCATCCTATTCTTTAAATTAATAAACTGGCCCTCTTTCTCTTGCTAATGAAAAATGATATTGGGTTGAAGGTTGGCGTGCTTGATGAGGAGAAAATTCTTCCTCTTGGAAAGGAAGTCACTGCGGTTGGAGTTTGTTCCTCAAAAAGTGGGGCTCTTGAGATAAAATCATGCAGAGATCTTCCTTGCTTTCTGTAAGGCCAACAGCTTTATTGCTGTATGTAGTTTTGTATCGATCATTCCATATACTTGGACCTTGTGGGCAGGGTTTTAATAATTCTCATCTGCTTTAGACTATGGCAATGAAATGAAAAAATGAACGTGCTTTTAAATTTACAGATTATTAGTTAGTTTCAGGAATGTTGTATACTTGTGTGTGAATTGGTTACCAGATTATTTGCTGCTAACTGGATATTGTCTAGACTAAGTTATATTTTTGAAGTGTTTTTATGTTTTGAACTGTTTTACATGACTTGTTGGATTTAGTTTATTTGTTTGATTATATTATGCTTTATCTTTCTGCAGGTCTGAACTGACTAAGGATCAAATATTAGTACAACTCTCTTTCAGGACGAAGATCTTACTGTGGAGTGGTATTGTTATTGGTTCAGTCTCGATTGGCGTACTTGGTTATGCGATTGTTAGGTATTGTTACTGTTCTTCATTCCTTTAACCTATGTGGTTGCTTCTTTTATGTAAATAGCATAGATTGAAATTGATTTTGACGCAAACAAGATCATGAGGTTGTGTCTTTCAAGATTTATGTGCCTATGGCCATTGATGCCATAATTTTTAATCTAATGCTATTATTATGAGTTGATGAATTGTAACATTGGTTGAAAGCATTCTATTTCATATAGCTGACCGCCTGACTCAAACATACAGATTTGTTTAGAGTAGGCAAAGGCATTTGACTAAATTTTTAATCAGAAACTCTTTTAAACTTTTTTTTTTTTTAAATCCTGCAAGTGATTCAACTTTTCCATTTGAGATTGATCTATCACTGTAGATTTTTGGCCTAATTTCGGTTGCTTGCCCGCTGATCATCTGCAGGAACTGGAATAAGTGGAAGCAATGGCGGGAGCAAAGGAGGGCGCAGCAGCAAAACCATTCTGGAGTTGCTCCTGAAAGTGGCAGCAGCAGTCCCGAATCTGAAGTTGAAGAAGTTGGAGATGTTCCTGACGGGCAGTTGTGCGTAATCTGCCTAATGAGGAGACGGAGGTCTGCATTTGTACCGTGTGGACATCTGGTTTGTTGCCAGAGATGTGCGTTTTCAGTTGAACGAGATTTAGCTCCAAAATGTCCTGTTTGTCGGCAGGTTATTCGTGGTTCTGTCAGGATATATGACACTTGAGGTACCCAACGAATGTCTATATTTAGAAGTACCGGAGAGGAAGCTTTTGTGAATATGTCTCATAGACGTCAAACGTCATAGTCGCTAAAAAACTTCGATTTTTAAAGAAGGCAATATAGGAAGATTGTTCTAGCAAATGTCTGAACCCTTTGCTTCCTGATATTTATACGTTCACTCCACCGTTATATGTCTATTATGTTTCAATATCCTGACGCAGGAGTCAATTTTGCCATGTACATAATTTTCTACTCTCCTATTTCTGGTCTTAAATTAATCTAATATAGTGATATTACTCCTTTCTCTTTTGTCTTCCTTAACATTTATGAATATTTTGAATGTTGGGCAGTCCAACAAAATTCAAAACTGCTGAGACTTGTTTTTTAAATGAACTCTGTCACAGAGTTTGATTTACTTACAGAATATGCAGAAACAATGGACCTTGGCACTGCGGGAGAATCATGTTACCCAGCAGGTCAGGAGCTGCTATGCCAAGCCCAACACCAACCCCCTTTCACGATCCCTGCATCTGTGTACACCTTCAGAATTCCCCTGCTGCTGGTGGCTTTGATGCAGTAAATGACACTGCAGCAAGCCAGACACTGCTGCTTGGGGCTCATTGTTATTTGTTACAGCTTGCATAAGACCTTGTATTCTCCAGACCATCTTGGATGGCTCTCTTTAGAATTTACCACCATTTCAGGTTCGGCTCATCAATATCATTTTCTTTTTAGATGTACGATACACCCGTGAGTATATAACTATTGCTCGCTCACCTTTTACATTAAAGGTTATGTTTATAAACAAATTTATTTTTAAAAAAAAATTAAAAAATCTACAAGATATATTTAACTATATCCCATGAAAATTATACCCTAGGAAAATAATAGTACGAGTAGTAATTAAAATTTAAAAAGATAAATAAAAGAAAACAATATACAAATTACAAAGTATATCTTATCATTTATCAACTATACAGCTATACTTCCTATATTTTCTCAATTTCTTGACTAGAAAGTCATCATAATTTCACTTCTCCCTCCTCCAAAACCCTCAATATTTCATATTCAGTGTCTTCCAAACAAAACAAAAAAACACAAAACAAGAACAATGTCAGTGATATTATCAACCATTTCCTCGGCTGCCCTAGCCTATTTTGCATCATTAGAGAAGGCTAAGACTCAGCAAGCCTATGACACAGTCGAAACCCTTCGTGATATACCGGAATGTTATGTATCCGGCTTACAAACACTCATAGGCAGTCTTCCTCACCATGATATCAAAAAAATTGTCTTCCTTCGCGGTGTTGTTTTGCCGAATTCCTTACTTAATAATGTAACTAATAGAGGTGAAGACCAGGGCTCTTCACCGTCTCATGCATCTGATACGGTCCAAGGTGTACCGGAACCGGAGACATCGGTGAATATTCTTGAGTCCTCTAAGACCCATCAGCAAGCTGTTGTGGTTGAGAGAAGTATCATTGTGAGTATGACCTTCCTAGTTTCTTTCTTAGATAAAATAATATATCATTATAATTTTATTAGGGTTTTAGGTTAGGGTTGTGATTATATTTCTAAATTATGTCATGAATTTTAATTATATTTGCTTAATAGATTGTTGGAATGAAGTTGTTAAAGTTTAATGATAATTATATGATTATATCATTTTTTATTATTATTATTATATTTGACAAAATAATTTTCATGTGAATTGTTGGTTAGCCTCAAACTTCATTCTATGTTATGTTGCTAGTAAGTTGTTTTGATCCTAATTGAAAATTAAACAATATTGACCATAATTTTTGCACAAGTTCTTCAAATTTGACTGATTTGATTTTTTATTTTTTATTTTAATTGAAGCACGGATATAATGAAAAATCTAATTTTTTGGGCATCATCGACAAGAAACAAGAGGGAAAGAAAGTTGTCTCCAAGGAACGCAGACAGGTAATTGCCATTCTCATGATCTTCATTTGTATACTCTACAATGCATTCAAGCTAGCTCAATTCTATTTTCGTCTTGACAATAATAGTCCTTTGAAAGGGAACCTAGCCCTAGTTTGTGAGGGTATATATCAAAACATTAGCAAAAAGTCGAACATAAGATTGTAACTTATTTTGTTTGTATCCATATAATATGGTACTTCCTCCGTCCCTTATTTACATGTCTATGAAATGCTCAATCTTTTCGTCCCAGGTTCCCTTCGTCATTGCAGAGAGCACAAATCACAATATATCAATTTTAAGCGGCAAATACGTTGTGATCAACTTAGAGGATACCGATGTTCAAATTCCTCTACAAAAAGTCTCTTCTGATAAGAGAGAAATTTTTAATCACAGTGACAATAATGTAAGTACTTGTACAATTGTTACATAATTATTTTTCATCATATATATATATATATATATATATATATATATACTTTCTCCAGTGTTTAGTTAACACACTTCATGTGAGACGTTTGAATCACTCAAATGTAACTTTATTATATACTTTTTATAATTTTACATACAATGTTGATATATAATTAGAGATATTAATTGCTAAAATTTACTTTGACAAACGTGATAAAAGAAAGGTGTCAACTATAAAAGCAGAGGTATTATCTTGATTATTATTCGACAGTAATATACACGTATGCATATACTAAATTGTCACGTGTTACAGGGCTTTAAACTACAAGTTGATGAGATTACTGAAGAAAAAATCCTTCCAGTGGGTGTTGTTATTAGCGCTGTTGGCATCTTTAGCTTGGAAAATGGGGTTCCAAATATTAAACCTTATAAAGAACTTCCATATTTTCTGTAAGCAAATTTTCAGCTCTTTTTTACGTTTTTTCTACGATATTAATAAGAAATATGTAATGAAATTAAAACGGGTTAATTTCGATCTTGTACTGTAGTACATCCAAGAGCAAAAAGGAGTTGGTTGCGGAATTATCTGCTCAGTTAGAGAACGCAAAGGACTGGTCCGAAACACTCTCGAATTGGTCAGTTGGTTTAGCTGGTTTCGCCGCTGGTGCTCTTTTACTACGCATTGCCTTAAGGTATTATTCACTTCTCTATTGACTCTACATACAAATTGTCTACAATCCGTATAGAACTTATAATAGGAGTCATGTATGGTGTATTAGCATGTTCGACAAATTTAGTTGTTGAAAAAATGATTGTTTCTGATCTAGCTACTACCTAGATTAGTATGTACAATTCGAATTATTACTAGGGTTGACGTTGGTTGAGTCCATCTATTACATAATGTTAATTTCATATTTAGTTGATTGTTGCTATGTATGTACAAAATTGTGTTAATATGATTGTTGTTATTTTTTGTTTGTTCAACTTTGTGTTATATAGGGCATCAAAGTGAACAGAGGATTTTGCATGCTTGACAGCAACCACGCACATACGAAGTAAGGACTATATTATATGAAGGGACATCTTTAGTTAGTACCACACTATTATTCCTTAATTTCTAATCTTACTTAGCGTACTTTGTCAAGTGTCATTATGAGATATTAGACTATTAATTCTCTTTTTCTTCTTTATAAGATCAATAAAAGTATGAATAGTAGAGATAGCGTACTTGTAAGATTTTATCTTTATGCATGGTTAATCCTTTTTTAATTTATTTATGTGATTATGTCCATCTATATATATAACAACATTCATATGTTACTATTGGTCGTTTCCACACTATTTGCTTCATCAATCACCACTACTTAATTAAAATATATTGGTCTAACTCATCACTTCTCACCTCTCTCGAGTTTTTAATTATGAGAGATTGTGACTACAGTGTTATAATTTCGTGTTTTTTCACATTTTTTTAGCCTTCACCTATAATGACCAATATTTTTTGGACAAAACATGTCCGACGAATGGTCACCTTGAGACTTTAGTAGATGGTAAGTCTTGGTCTAAAGTGGAATCAAACAACTTGATACATAACAAGACAATTTGTAGGGATTATGTGCATTTAGTACATAACAAGACAATAAATAAAGGATTTATCGTTGCATTTCAACGAATATATGAGTACTAGTAAAACTAACTCAACTAACTCAATGGCTAGTTCCTACCAAACTACTAGCTTGGTGTAATTGAAATGTCATACTTTGTCAATTCGTCATATTCTCTCAATCATGATTCAACCAATATAGCCGTGCAATTTGAGTACTTAGCTAGAATAGCCGTGCAATCTATTATTGTACATGATGTTTTGTGGCAATACATACTTGACCACATCACATGGGAATACATGCTAATTTACCTAAGCAAAGCAACAAGGGAAGGGCGGTTCATTATCGGGTGTGGAGATGTTAAGTACTACCTCCGTTAATTATTATGTGTAACTTTAGAATATTTTATATCTCACAAATAATATCTTAAAGTTGCACATAATAATTAACGGAGGTTGTAATACACTTCTTCTTACCATTAAAAAATAGTATATTAACTCGAAAATATTTAAACTAGAAGTGTAGAAGTACCAAAGAATTGAACCACATGCAAGTTTGAGTTTACAATTAAATATTTATTACCTTTTCCTGTGTTTCAAAAACATCTTGCAAATTATAAGAAAATCTAATATATCCTTACGCAATGTAACGCAAATATCACCTTACAGTCTTTTTCTAAGCTTGTATGTGGGTAATTCACACTACTTTTAGGGTCTCTATCCATAGAAACACTTCATCCGTTATATCTTATTAGTTGACACACTTAATATAAATGCGTAATTACATAAGGCGTGTCAAAAGATGTTAAAAGAGAAAAAATACCCCTTACCCGCCAAACTAATTAAATTACAAATCAATTTAAAGTCATTAGTAAGGACAAATAAGAATTATACATTAAGAAATTAAACTTACTCAAAAGAAAAACGTGTCAATTAAAAATAACCTTTTTAAAAAAAAAGAATACGTTTCAACTGAAAAAAATGGAAGAAGTTTAAAATGATTAGAAAAGATGTAAGAGCGAAACTCTTATGTAAATGAGGGTAAGAAAAGAAAAGATTTACGAAGTTTAAACCCATTCATTATTTTATTCTCTTTTCTTAACTTAATAAAATCACAATTCCTTGACATACATTCGTAGGTGTCCTCCTAGAGATTTCTCAAAATGAATTACATCTTTTATAATCAATACATACATTAAATTATTGTTTTTATGGTACTTTTAGTCTAACTATTACATGCATCTTGAATTAAAATTCTTTTATGACAATAATTAAATCAAACCTAAATACAGATGAACCAAAACATAATTCATTTTACAGATATTCACAATTACTCTGAATCACATATCCAAAAATGTGAATAATATCGAACTTACTTTCCCAATGCAAAAGTGTATTGAAATGTATATTAAGCCATCTACCGACATAAACATGCGGTGACAAAACATACATGGTACTATGCTAGTATCGTGTCATATTGTACATTTCATTATTATTATGTTGTGTACAAATTTTTTTTGGTATACTTTAACTTTGCATTTCATTTCAACCTCTTAATTTTTGGCAATGTTTTGATTAGATGTGATTTTATATTACTAGCTCAATCATATTCATTGGTAAACAGCATCTATTTTTATTATTTTTGAATGTTATTTTTTCTAGTTTTAAATTAGTGATGGCAGAGCATCGAATCTAAAGAGATTGCAGAAGGAAATGCAAAGTTAGATAAGATGCGAAAGTATCCTTTGTTTTGCTATATCAAAGTGGTAACCAAGTAGTACTACCAAGGACTAATTATAGCTCCTTTGGTAAAGTCTTGCTTGAGTCGGTGATAAAAGTCGTGGTAGAGTATAAAATCAGTCCTGAGACATAAATTACTACGTAATAAAGTTTTAATTAAGCTAATTCTTTTATATGGTATCAGAACTAAACTAGTATGAGTATATAACAATATGACTAGTATGTTATTGGTTTAAAATCTCATCTACCTCTTTCTTTCATCTAAAGTGGAATTATTAGCAGAGAATATGAGAAAATTGATGCTGCATCTAAAAATCAAAACCATAGTGAACAAAAATATAAGACGATTTATAGACCAAATCCGACGATTTGATCTGAAAATCTCATCCACCTCTTTCTTTCATCTAAAGTGGAATTATTAACGTGGGGAAATTCATGCTGCATCTACAAATCAAAATCACAGTTAACAAAAATAGACCAAATTCGACGATCTGATCTGAACTGAAATGATAAATTTGCCACCTGGGCCGGCGTAGCCTTTACATCTCACAACCGGGGGTGGACACGTAGCGACAATGATAATGGGGGTGAGTCAGTGTGGTATATGGTCTCTCTTCCAAGTGTAAGAGTGGTATAATGAGATTGGGAAGAAGTAAGCAGGAAAGAAAATGTACCAATAATGAATAATCTCTGGTGTTATTTTTTCCTGAAACAAACATATCATTATCAGAAAGGGCACCCTTTTCTAAGTAGTCCCATGCAATTCTACAGTCCTGCTTTTGTTCTTTTTCTTCTTCTTAACTCCGTGAAAGTGATTTCTCTCACACCAACTATTGTCCTCCTTTCTCCATCCATTCATATATTCTGCATGTGTTTATTATTGTATGTAACCTAACATTTTTATTTGTGTCTTAAACATTCTATGTTCCAAATTAATAGTTACGTTAAATATATTTAATGTTCGGGAAAACAGTATGTTATATACTTGTATGCCGTATGTCATTACTTATATTAAGGGTTTGTTCTGATTTATTGAACTGAACTAAAGTAAATTGAGTTAAACAAAATTGTTTATGAGATCAGGAAATTAGAAACCGAACTGAAATTAAGCTGAAGATCAGAGAAAATGTCTTAAGTGATTGATGATGGTAGAATGGACGACGTGGTTCACTATTGTTGTATGGAGTAGCTGACCTCTATTATGGAAACTAAGTACTTTGTATCAACCTAGCTAGATAACTTACTAGGTCCTAAGGTCCATCATCTATGTTACAAGTGGTAACATGCATAATTGATTATTTGATATGGTAGGTTAAGTTACTGGCTGTAATGTATTAAAACCAGTGAATCTATATGATTCTAGTTTATAGTATATGTCAATAATATGATTCAATTCTACGTATTATATGATTTAATTCAAAGTATGTGTCGTAATTTTATCATAAAATCATCATCAATAATCTAGATCTATAAACTTGTAAAATATGTATTATATAAGTGTTATTAATCTTATTATAGATTGTTTTTAATTGGTATGTTGCCTCCTTTCATTTGCACAATAATGTAAACGTTGTACTTTCTGTACATTTGTGAAAAGCAATTTTAGAAGACAAGATAGGGGAGGAGAGGATAAGTATTGGAACATTAAAAATAAAAAGAGAAAAAAAAAATTAATGGTGATAATAATAAAAAGTGATGGGAATAAATTGTTGAGGTACCAGAGGCTTCTAGGTCTAGCTAGTCAGGGTAACGTTTTTCATATGTGCTGTATCATGTAAATTGTAAGGTATATTTTCATAGATAAAGGGACAATAATGAATCGTAGTGACCTCGTCTTGAAGTTGAAATATCCAAAATGCCCTTTGTATATGCTTATCCGTCTCTAAATTTGGTTCCTTAATCCCTCGATAATAAGGGTAAGGGACGGAACACATCACCCCCTCACAGGCAGGCAAGAACCGCGACATCTCTTAGCTTGAATTTATTTTTTTAATCAAGTTTTTTTTTCTTAGAAGTTAAGCGTAAATTAAATTTAACACTTTGACCCCCCCCCCAAAACATTTAAATATTTATTTCCTCTTTAAAATAATTTTATAATTTTACCCTCCGGCCCCTAAGTTAGAATTTGTTATATACAGTCGGGTGTACCGTACACTCAATAATTAATCAAGGTTGATTTTTGCTCTTCATCTCATGATAAAATGAAAAACAATTATCAAAATGAGAACAAATACCCATGAATATACGATAGACTCGGGTGTAATAACAACTTCTCCCCCTAAACCTAATAATGGTACATGAAAAAAAAAAATCAAAAAAAATAAGAACAGACTGCAGACTGCAGACTGCAGACTGCAGACATACATCTTATATTTCTGAGGTCTAGTAATACACAGCCAGCCAGCACCTATATTAAACTAGTAACATCAAATGTTATTATTACATACAATCTTCATAACAGTTCATCATTCACACAAAAATAATTTCTGAAAAAAAAGCCCAACAAATAATAATACTATTCTGCAAAAATTCCACTGATAAAAAAGAAGTTTCAGAATTCATTCAGTCCCACTATTTATATGCTTCTCTCAAAAATAATCTTGAAACAAAACTAGTGTATAAAATTCTCTCTCCTTTAGAAAAAAGAAAAGATGATGATATCTGGAAGAAATAACCGTAAATCTCCTTTCCCTTTCACAGCAAGTCAATGGCAAGAATTAGAGCAGCAACTTCTTACTTTCAAATATATTATGTCAGGAATTCCTGTCCCACCTGAACTCTTCTCTACTGTTATCAGAAACCCATTTACTTCCTCTTCTTCTGGACTCTTCTCTAATCAACAATCTATTCCATGTAAGCTACTTACCCTTTTATTCTCTGCATCTAATCTTGTTGTTGCTTTTTTTTTTACGATAACAGGTCTTGTATACAACAAGTGCATATATTTATAGTACTATATATTTCATTTCATAATATTTCGTAGAAGATAGTTTTATAATTTGGCGACTTTTATGTTATTTGAGATGACTAAGTCTGATAGATATATGTGTAGATATATTTGATTTATGGTTTGTTGGATATGTATGTGTTTATTATAGATGTGGTTAGACACTATTTATTGGTTTAATTGCTGTTGGGGCTAAAAATAGGAAGTATCACTTCACTTTAAAATCATTGTCATCAACCCTAATTAGGCTAAACATATTCTAGATTATGTTTTTAATGTTTTGGTTTATATGTCTATGATTGTGGTGGGCTCAATGTTGTTGTTCAATTGTGAAGGGTTATGGAGACAATGAAGGGTCATGCCTTGGCCTAGGCCAACATTGTTGTGTCATTTCATTCACCACTCTTGTGGTACAACATTTTTATGTTGATTAATGATTATGGCCAATATATATCGAAGTACTACGTATATACAATTGGGTTCAATATTAGAGATCTATATTAATATCTAGTCAAACCTTATCTTCAACCATTCATTGAATTCTTATGAAATTATTGCTAAGGGTGGATGGATAGGAGATAGGATAAAGTGCATCTATCAGTGCGTGCATCACATACAGTACATCTCTTACGTCGGTCACCTATGGAGATTTTACATAACTGATGGCATTATCCGCTAACCCATTTGTTGAAATCTTTGTGTCATGTAGTTGGATGGGGTTGTTTTCAAATGGGATATGGAAGAAAAATAGACCCAGAGCCAGGAAGATGTAGAAGAACAGATGGTAAAAAATGGAGGTGTTCAAAAGAAGCATGCTCAGATTCTAAGTATTGTGAGAAGCACATGCATAGAGGAAAGAACAAAACTAAGAAACAAAATCAACAAGTTTTTTCCAATACAACACCAAAATCATCAACAAATGACTCCACTTTTTCAACATCATCACCCAAAATTAATCTAAAAACTTGCATCCCAAATTCCCCTGCAATTTCTTGCTCAATTTCACCATCTAATAATGATATTACTACAACTTATCCTTATATTATGGGTCAAAAAACTCAAGCTCACTCTTATCAACCCACCACTTTTTACCCTTTTATGTCTCCTCAATCTGATTCCACTAATTTCACTCAGTCAACTCAAAATTTTACTGCCCCTCACTGGCTATTGGACTCTGAGTCATATGATCAGCCTAAGAAAGAAATGAGGTTTGACTCTCTTACTTCTCTACATTTTTGTACATTTGCTCAAGTAGATAGGCCATTTTCGAGTTTCTATGTTTGTTTTTATATGTTAAAAGATTATTCCGGAAAAAAAAGTTCAGATAAGGTATAGTAAAACTAGTAAATTTGGATAGGTCGGGATTTTAGGTGGAAAGAGCTCACCAGATTGATGGATAATCTTAACCAAATCCTTTTATTTTGATGGTGTTAGGGTGGCAAATTTATCTTGAGAGAGGCCACTAGGGCTAAAAATATTCAATTTTTTTATGATTATTTTCTCTTGTGTGGTTATTAGTCACCTAGTAAAGATGATCTTTGCTAGATAAAAGTGAGTATTAGTGAATAATAAATTTATACTACTTTAAATAGTAGAACATATTGCTTGAAATTTAATTTTTGGATGCAATATCAACTTTTGTAACACACACATATACAAAAATGCGACTACTTTTTATATTTGCAACACGTTTTGATTATTTTGTGATTGTAAATATCGATTTTCTTATAATACAGGTACTTGTAGATGAAAGAAGCAATTAGGGAAACAAACGGAGTCCATATCAAGATCTATTGTACGAAGACATCGAAAGGGACTAAGAAATCAAAGATTTGGACTTGATAAGACGACGATAGACTCATAACTCATAAGCTATTCCATAGATGATTGTTCGTGACTAACTAACTAGAGATCGTGATTAATAATGAAAATCCTCATTTGATAAAGGAGGGAAAAAAAAAAGAGAACGAGTGATCATCTTTAGTTTATACGAAGGTAATAACCTTATAAGCATGCATCACATGTAAAACATGTTTTGATCTTGTGGCACTGAACTTTCTTGTATGTAGATGTTTTTGAACGGGCAACCACTTTAATGTTCCATATGTTTGTCAATAATCGTTATACAATGGTCTTGTGCGTGCCTTCATACAGTTTCAATACTTATGGAGTACACAAGTTTAATTTGGTGTACATTATTGGGCACTTGTAGTGATTTGAAATCGCGATAATTTTGTACAGGTTTGATCATGTTCAAATTCTCTATTAGAATATCACTGTTTAGGCTTGTAAGCTGTAACATATCTATGCATAAACAATAAATGATATTTTTCCAATTTTCAACTACAATCCTTCATACTCTTAATTCTAAATTATACTCCTAGAGTCCTGGTACTTGCATCATGCATTATAATGGGTACATTTTAGCACTTTTAATACAATTTTATAAGTTTGGTTCGACATGTTTCAAAAATTTTAGATTGGCCCATTTAGTTGGGCAGAGCATCATGCTATAAACTTTAGATTCGACCCATTGAGTTGGATATAAGCATCATGGCCCCAAAATTACTGGACTTGTACCAAAGAATTTTAGGCCAATGTACTCTTAATAAGGAATGCATGCATCTTGTTTGTATCCAGTTATTGTGCAAATTCAATACCACGTAGTAGTATTACGTAGAATTTGTTTTACTTTTAGGTTACCAAAACTAGGATAGCATTACTTTTAAAAAAATATCACCGGAAAACCAATAAGTAGATCATTAGCCTAATAAAGTGTTACACATTTGCATGTGTTATTTGAAAAGTTTATAATTCTATATACACCCTCAATATATATGGAATTATACATACACAAAACAATCATGCTAGCTTTATATTTTAAACCGTTGACTAGACAAATACGTAGTTCTTAATAACACCTTAAAGCCCTATACTTTTTCATGTTAAAATATAGTAAGTAATATTTTTAAGCTCCAAAATAGCAATCATATAATTACATACAAATTTAAGTATTATGGTCCAAAATATGGTTGATCATGTATGTAATTACACTAACAGATTAAATATCTCAAACTTGATACTAATAATATAATAAATTTTAAATTGCTAAATAATTTGCACTATGCATAATTTAAGTATTTGCTTTTCGGTTGACTTTAAAATTTTATACTTTTTTTTTCTTTTATCAACCATATTGTGTCTTACAAGGACCAGTGGACCACTATAAAATAATCAAATTACCTACAAAAATTATACTTGTAATTATTTTTATATATGATACACAGAGTTTTTTTTTTTTTTTATAAACAAATAACATTTTAAGAAAACTGTCATATAAAATATATCGTATACACAAATTTTTATATATGGTTGGGCGCTGGCCACACCATATGTCAAGCTATTATGGAGGTTACCTTGTTAGTGTTATATGAGTTACTTCGCCAGTGTTTTAGGGGTTATTTGGTTAATATTATAGGGTTATTTTATCCTTATTATAGGGATTATTCGATTAGTATTATTGGGATTATTCAGTCATCGTTATTGAAATTACTTTATTCTTTTACAATTAGTAATATGATATAGCTAGTCGCACACAAAACACACTAGATTATGTATGATATTATTATTGCTCTATCCACCAAACATTTTTAGAATTGGAAACCTTTTTTCGTAGAATAAAAAATTGTGACAAAAGTTGTCCTTTTCTAAGACTTATGGAGAACACACGAATTATGACAAGCACACTTTATATAATGGTGGATTGCGTGGTGTTGAAATTACACGTTGGATTTCAAGCATTATGCATGATCAAGGCGTGTGTTTGGCGTATGCTTTTATACATTCTACTAGTGGGAGGTTGCCCAATTTCACGTGGAACTATGCTACTCCGTATCACAAATTTTAGTATTTCCTTTTATAATTTGGAAATTTATTTCCTCACAAAAAAATCAAACTTCCCCAAATTTAAACAATAAATTTTTTTGATGAACTTCTACACAATTCCTACAATTTAATCCCCTTCAATTTGATTTTTGGAGGAGCAAGAAAAGATAAACCCCACCAATTGTTTGCTTGTTCTTTGTTGAAATTGAATTCAAGGTAAATTTGAAATTTAATTAGTTGGGTTTGAAAAATTGTTGGGTATTTGAATTGGGTTTTGATTTTTAATGTTCATAAATTGGATTTTTTTTTTTTAAGTTTTATTCTGGTGATTTGATTTTTATTTACATGGTGCTATTGTTTCATTTGTGGGTAATTGAGTGATTTTATGTTTGAATTGAATGATTGGAAAGCAATTAATTTGCAAGTTTCTGGTGATATAATTTGATATTTATGTGTTCAATTTTCTTGGATTTGTCTAGTTTTTATATTGTAGTTCGGATTAATTGAGCTGTGTTGATTGAGCAGCAAAAATTTGCAAATTTTTGATGTGTTTCTTCATTGAAGTTGGAAGATTATACTAAATTATACTGCTTGATTATTTGGTTGTATGTTCAAATTTTTGATAATTGCTGCTTCAAGCTTTTAGTACATGGTATGGAATTAAAGCCAGATATTGATAAAGATTGCATTTTGATCAAATTGAAATTTTATTGACTAAATTTGAAATTTGGGTTGAAATTGATTTTGTTTCTCAGGGTAGAAAACTTTCAGCAAACCCTAAAACTAAAGGGGAAGGTTGGTAATTGGTGACTAGAAACAAATGGGTTCGGATGTTATCGATGATCCCGTTCTTAATGAGGAAAGCGATGCTCCGGAGGATGTAGTGGATGAGTAAGTAATCTGATTGAGCTTATGATATTATGGTAGAAAACATTTTGCAGTATTTTATGGTTAGTCTGATTGTGCACAATACGGGGTAGTCTTCACCATTTCTTTTATATTTCGGGCGAAAAGAAGGATCATACTTATCTTTGTATGAATTTACAAGTTTACAACTATGTTTCCTTGATTGCTATACATGATGGGACTTTTTTAGTATTATTGCGAACATGTGTAGTTGTTCAATGGTTCATTTCATTGAAGATTTGTCTTTTGGGTTACAAAATGACTAGCTCATACTAGTTATCATTGCCACTTACTATTTAAAACTGAGACGGGGGAGACGGGTAGTCTTCTTCTGTTTATAGACAGATTAGCTTCAAGTGCAAATGGTGTGTGAATAATGCGATGCTTTAGAGAGCAGGTAAGGTAGACATGTAATCAGGAAGATAAATTAGATGGTGGAGCATACATACAATATGTAACAATTTCAATGGAAAAGTAGAGAGAAGATTTATTATATATTACGAATATGAGACTTGAATTTTCTTTCAAAGTTTGCTTGGGTTATGAATTACCTTAATTGAAACCAGAATAGAAGGCTTGATTATGCTTGAGTTTACATGGATTATGATCAAGCTCCTACCTCCTATCCATTTCCATTTATTTCAGTTCTATGGGAATTCCATTTGTGATTAAAGCATGTTTTTACTTAAAGTGGTTTTATTTGCAGTCCTCAGTCCAACAAAAGAAAGCGGGGTAAATTACCAAAAAAAATAATGAAGGCAGAGAGAGAAAGATTGAAGCGTGAACAACTAAATGTGCTTTTCGATAAACTGGCTGGTGTTCTTGGTAAGTTCACTTTCTGAATTTGTTGAACTCATCAACATAGATATTAGTCCTGTTATACTTTAGGTCAAAGACTCATTCTTAAAACTCCATGTAGATTTAAACCAAGAGAACAACGGTAAAGCTTGTGTACTGAACGAGACGATTAAGCTCATGAAATATATGGTTTCTCATATTCAAAGCCTCAGAAAGGAGAATGCAACTCTGCTGTCAGAGTCTCAATATGTAAGCTCTTCAACTTCTACCCATTGTGTTTAATATTTGCTATTGGGTTGAAGATCATGATATTAGGCATGCTATTTTAGCAATGATTCTGGCCTTCATCTTTGATGCTTGAAATGGATTTGTATATGATGCATCCACTTTTTTATATCCGGTTTTAACTTTTTTTTCAAAATGTGATGTAATTGCAAACGAGAAAGCCAATGACCTTGCTTATATGCTCATCCTAACATCTGCTTGTCCTGGGATAAATTGTTATTATTATGTAAAAGGAGACAATTGTTTGAACTTTGAAGGGATTGCAGAAACTAAAAATGTTTGAGTGCTGATAGTTCTGCTATGGCTCTATGCCTTTCCTGTTGGTATCATTAGATTGATTGCCTGAACTTAGGAATAAGGGATATCATATAGGAAATCATTCTTGAACCAAAATTGCAAAGCTACATTCTCTGAACAATTGATAGTACTTGATGTGGCCATCTTACTATTTATGCATATCATCTGTCTCCTTTGTGTTGTTAATACTAACTAGCCTTTTGGCCCGTTCGATGCACGGGTTCTTATCTAGGTTATTTCATATGTAGGTATGTTTTTCAATAGTTGAAACTTTTGATATGAAATATGAAGTAATTGTTTCATTGTTAAAACTTAAAAGGAAAAAAAAGAATGAGGGTAGAACTGTGGAAAAAGATAAAGGAATTTAGATTGTAGGGTATGAAATGACATATTGGTTTAAGTTATATTTTAAGTTTATTAGTTGAAAAGACAATTTTTATATAATTCAATTCATATGTATATGTGATGTATATCAATTGGTTCAACTTTATTTTATTATGATGGAAATAAAACACTTCATTTTCTTAATTGAATTTGCAAGTTATAGAATGTATAAAGACTTAAACAAAAAGATCAAAAAGGGTGACATGTGTCATATGTGGTAGTGAGTAACTTGTGATGACATGTGTCATATGAAAAATTATGGTTTGTGTTTTTAAATACTAAGTATAGATATAGATTTTATTGGGAAAAAAAAAAAAACCTATCTGGATGTTTGCTACGACTCAGCAACTATATCTGAATGACTACTTTGGCTTTGCGATCGTTCCTTCTTTCCATAAGCAGTATTTTCTGACTTTTTCTTGTCTGGCTAGATGACAGCAGAGAAGAATGAGCTTAAAGAAGAGAATTCTGCACTTGAAGTGCAGATAAGGAAAATGCAAAATGAAGTGGAAGAGAAGCTAGGCCAATCTAAGCCTGTCCTAAACGCAAGCCCCCCTCTTGAATGTTGGCATGGAGAAACACCTTCACACTTCATGGAAGGCCAGTTACCACCATTGGCGACCACTGATCCATCTTCACAACAGCCAATTCTTGGCCCACTCTATGTCATTCCAATCAATCCTGACCTGCAAACTTTTCAAAAGGCTGATGCAGCTTCTAATTTACCTAGAACTGTGAGCAAACCTCATGCTAGATATCCCACACCAGCTGACTCGTGGCCATTGCAGCTGTTGTCGAAGCCAGTGGAGACGATAATAGGACAGACAACATCATAGATTGCACTTGGTGTAGTAGAATTAGCAGACAGACAACTTGGTGGACTCGACTTCAATTCCCTCACTGATTATAGTATATAGCTACGTAAGGAATGCAAGTAATCCATGTATTAGCTTATGTCACTATATTCAGTCTCATATTTGTAAATCAATGGAGTTTCTAGCATTTATAGCAATATTAAGTCTTGATGTACATGTTTACTAGCTTCTTTCATAGGTCATGCTTCTCAATTGCTTTTTCATTAATCAAAACAAGATTTTCCAAAAGTTTATGAATCATAAGATTCATAACCTCTTGCATACACTTGACAGTTTGCATTGTGCGGTGCCGGGCCCACCAGGAGCACGAAACAGCCCAGCACGAGCAGTGGACGATGCTTTCTGTGTGTTAGGCTGTGGGTTGTATGTTTCGGTTGGGAACTTGGAACCTAGAAGCACTGGACCCAAGACAAAAATTTGGGCAAAAAAAGCCTCATGGCCGGCACAAAGCCGTGTTACCATTTTACAATTTTGCTTAAAGAGTAGATTTTTTTTACTGTTGAGGTCGAAACCTCTAAAATTTCTCAAAAAACGTGGATATTAGCCTTTAATTTTGAATTTTTTTGACTTTTTCCTCACCTGGAAATAAAAATTGCCGAAATGTTTACCATGATCCCTATTACCCTTCGGGACTCCAATTGGCTAGATAGAATCATCCAATTTGCCTTTAAACGATCAATTTACCGGTTTATAATTTGCACCGATTTTATTAATTCAAGACTACCACTAACATTTATGACAATATATAATGATCATATATGGTTCCAAACGACAATATCTAACCCCGAGATGTATCCCCCATAGTCTAAAGGCTTTTCGACACCAGGCCCCGAAACCTCCAAAATTTCTCAAAAAGCATGGATATTAGCCTTCAATTTAAGAATTTTTTTACTTTTTTTCGCCCGAATAAAAAAATTGCCGAAATGTTTAGCATGGTCCCTAATATCCTCCGGGAGTCCAATTATTAGATGGGTGGAACCATCCTATTTGCCTTTAAACGACCAATTTACCGGTTTCAAACCTGCACCGAGTTCCAAACGGCGTTATATAACCCCAAGATGTATCCCCTAAAATCGTATTTCTTTTCGACACCGGCCCCTAAACCTTCGAAATTACTCAAAAAGCATGGATTTTCAATTTTGGATTTTTTTTTACTTTTTTCGCGCGTAAAAAAAATTGCCGAAATATTTACCATGGTCCCTAATACCCTTCGGGAGTCGGATTGGGTGGGTAGAAATATCCTATTTGCCTTTAAACGACTAATTTAACGGTTTACAACTTCATCGATTATTTTAATAACTCAAGCCTACCACGAAGATTTATGACAACATATAATGATCATATACGGTTCCAAACGACATTATATAATCACGAGATGTATCCCCTAAAATATCAAGGCATTTCAACACCAGGCCAGAACCTTCTAAACTTCTCAAAAAGCGTGGATAGCCTTCAATTTTGGAATTTTTTTTACTTTTTTTTGTCCGTAAATAAAAATTGGCAAAATGTTTACCATGATCCCTAATACCCTCCGGGAGTCCAATTGGTTGGGTGAAATCATCCAACTTGCCATTAAACGTCCAATTTACCGGTTTACAACTTGCACCGACTTCATTAACTCGAGCCTAAAACGAATATTTATGACAACATATAATGATCATATATGGTTTCAAACGGCATTAGATGACCCAGAGATGTATTACTAAAAATCTAAAGGATTTTCGACACCGGGCCCCGTAACCTTCAAAATTTCTCAGAAAGCGTGGATATTAGCCTTTAATTTTGGAATTTTTTACCTTTTTTCGCCTGTAAATAAAAACTGCCGAAATGTTTATCATGGTCTCTAATACCCTCCGGAAGTCCAACTGGGTGGGTGGAACCATCCAATTTGCGGCCAATTTATCGGTTTTCAACTTCCACCGATTTCATTAACTCAAGCTTTCCACGAACATTTATGACAACAAATAATAATCATATATAGTTCCAAACGACATTATATGACCCCGAAATGTATCCCATAGAAATTCAAGACTTTTCGACACCGGGCCCTGAAACCTTAAAAATTTCTTAAAAAGCGTGAATATTAGTCTTCAATTTTGGAATTTTTAACTTTTTTTCGCCCGAAAATAAAAATTGAAAAATGTTTACCATGGTCACTAATACCCTCAGGGAGTCCAATTGGGTTGGTGGAACCATTTAATTTGCCTTTAAAAGACAAATTTACCGATTTACAATTTGGACGGATTTCATTAACTTAAGCATATTACGAACATTTATGACAACAAACAATGATCATATATGGTTCCAAACGGCATTATATGATCCCGAGATGTATCCCCTAGAATTTCAAGACTTTTCGACACCGGGCCCTTAAACCTTCAAATTTTCTCAAAAAGTGTGAATATTAGTTTTCAATTTTGGAATTTTTTAACTTTTTTTCGCCCGAAAATAAAATTGCCGAAATGTTTACCATGGTCCCTAATACCCTCCAGAAGTCCAATTAGGTGGGTGGAACCATCCAATTTGCGGCCAATTTAACGGCTTACAACTTCATCGATTTTATTAGCTCAAGCCTACCACGAAGATTTATGACAACATATAATGATAATATATGGTTCCAAAAGACATTATATAACCACGAGATGTATCCCCTAAAATATAGTGGCATTTCAACACCACGCCCAGAACCTTCTAAACTTCTCAAAAAAACGTTGATATATATTCTTCAATTTTGGAATTTTTTGACTTTTTTTTTCCCGTAAATAAAAATTAGCAAAATGGTTACCATGATCCCTAATACCCTCCGGGAGTCCAATTAGTTGGGTGGAATCATCCAACTTGTCATTCAACGACCAATTTACCAGTTTAAAATTTGCACCGATTTCATTAACTCAAGCTTACTACGAACATTTGTGACAACAAATAATGATCATATATAAGGGCCCAAACGACATTACATGACCACGAGATTTATTCCCTAGAATTTCAAGAATTTTAAACACCGGGCCCCGAACACTCCAAAATTTCATAAAAAGAGAGGATATAGCCTTCAATTTTGGAATTTTTTGACTTTTTTCACCCGGAAATAAAAATTGCCGGAATGTTTACCATGGTCACTAATATCCTTCGGGATTCTAATTGGGTGGGTGAAACCATCCAATTTGCCTTTAAACGACCAATTTACTGGTTTACAACTTGCACCGATTTCATTAATTCAGGCCTACCACGAACATTTATGACAACAAAAAATGATCATATATGGTTCCAAATGGCATTATATGACCCCCGAGATGTATCTCATAGAATTTAAAGACTTTTTGACAACGGGTCCCAAAACCTCCAAAATTTCTCAGAAAGCGTGGAAATAAAAATTAGCCTTTAATTTTTGAATTTTTTGACTTTTTTTCGCCTGAAAATAAAAATTGCTGAAATTTTTACCATGGTTCCTAATACCCTCCGTGAGTCCAATTGGGTTGGTGGAACCATTCAATTTGCCTTTAAAAGACAAATTTACCGGTTTAAAATTTGCACGGATTTCATTAACTCAAGTATAAACGAACATTTCTGACAACAAATAATGATCATATATGGATCCAAACGGCATTATATGACCCCGAGGTGTATCCCCTAGTATTTCAAGACTTTTCGATACTGGGCCCTTAAACCTTCAAAATTTCTCAAAAAGCGTGAATATTAGTCTTCAATTTTGGAATTTTTTGACTTTTTTTCGCCCGAAAATATAAATTGCCGAAATATTTAACGTGGTCCCTAATATCCTCCGGAAGTCCAATTGGGTGGGTGGAACCATCCAATTTTCCTTTAAACGGCCAATTTACCGGTTTTCAACTTGCACCGATTTCCTTAACTCAAGCATATTCAAACATTTATGACAATAAATAACGATCATATATGGTTCCAAACGACATTATAAGACCCCGAGACGTATCTCCTAGAATTTCATGACTTTTCGACTCTAGGCCCTTAAACCTTCAAAATTTCTCAAAAAACGTGAATATTAGTCTTCAATTTTGGAAATTTTTGACCTTTTCTGCTCGGAAATAAAAAAATTGTCGAAATGTTTACCATGGTCCCTAATATCCTTCGGGATTCAGATTGGGTGGGTAGAAATATCCTATTTGCCTTTAAACGACCAATTTACCGGTTTACAACTTGCACAGATTTCATTAATTCAAGCCTACCACGAACATTTATGACAACAAATAATGATCATATATGATTCCAAACGGCATTATATGACCCCGAGATGTATCCTATAAAATTTAAAGACTTTTCAACACCGGGCCCCAAAACCTCCAAAATTTTCAGAAAGCGTGGATATTAGCCTTTAACTTTTGAATTTTTTTGACTTTTTTTCGCTCGGAAATAAAAATTGCCGAAATGTTTACCATGGTCCCTAATACCCTCCGGAAGTCCAATTGGGTGGGTGGAACCATCCAATTTGCCTTTAAACGACCAATTTACCGACTTTCAACTTGCACCGATTTCCTCAACTCAAGCTTACCACGAACATTTATGACAACAAATAATGATCATATATGGTTCCAAGTAGCATTATATGACCCCGAGATGTATCCCCTATAATTTCAAGACTTTTGGACACCGGGCCTTGAAACCTTCAAAATTTCTCAAAAAGCGTGAATATAGTCTTCGATTTTGGAATTTTTTGATTTTTTTTCGTCCGAAAATAAAATTGCCGAAATGTTTACCATGGTCCCTAATACCCTCCGGGAGTTCAATTGGGTTGGTGGAACCCTGCTATAAAAGGCCAATTTACAGGTTTACAATTTGCACGGATTTCCTTAACTCAAGCATGTTAAAAACATTTATGACAACATATAATGATCATATATGGTTCCAAACTGCATTATATGACCCTGAGATGTATCCCTAAAATATCAAGAATTTTCTACACAGGGCCTCGAAACCTCCAAAATATTTCAAAAACCGTGGATATTAGCCTTCAATTTTGGAATTTTTTGACTTTTTTTTTGCCCGCAAATAAAAACTGTCGAAATGTTTACCATGGTCCCTAATATCCTTTGGGATTCTAATTGGGTGGGTGGAACCATCTAATTTTCCTTTAAACGACCAATTTACCGGTTTACAACTTGCACCGATTTCGTTAATTCAAGCCTACCACGAACATTTATGACAACAAATAATGATCATATATGGTTCCAAATGGCATTATATGACCTTGATATGTATCCCATAGAATTTCATGGCTTTTCGGCACCGGGTCCCAAAACCTCCAGAATTTCTCTGAAAACATGGATATTAGCCTTTAATTTTGGAATTTTTTGACTTTTTTTCGCCCGAAAATAAAAATTGTCGAAATGTTTACCATGATCCCTAATAGCCTTCGGGAGTCCAATTGGGTGTATGGAACCATCCAATTTTCTTTTAAATGGCCAATTTACCGGTTTACAACTTGCACCGATTTACCGGTTTACAACGACCAATTTAATAAACTTGCACCTTACCCGACTTGAACCGAAATTGACCCAAACTCGTTTTATCCCGTCAATACCCGAATTTAACCCGACTTGTTACTAACCTGACCTGAATTCAACCTGACACGTTCCTAACTCGACTTGAATTTAACCCTACATGTTACAAACCCGACCTGAAATCAACTCGACTTGTTATTGACCTGACCCAAATTCAACCCGAATTGTTATAGACCTGACTCGACCCGAATTCTACCAGAGCTTTTAATTATCCGACCTAAAAATTCAACCCGATCTGTTACTAACCCGACTCGAAATTAACACGACTTTTATTGCCCCGGCCTAAATTCAACCCAAATTGTTCTTGACCCGATTTTAAATCACCTTAAATGCAATTTAGACCACCTTATTATTGTTGATCAAAGAATTTTGTCTAGGGAGACCAAGTCGGTCCAGGCCAGCAAAAGAAAGGAGCATCATTCTTAAATTTAAGAGTTAAATATAGTACTCCCTCCGTATTTTTTTATATGCATCACTTGGGAATGCACATAGTTTTAGGAGATAAATATAATATTGTGAGTGGATGAATAAATTATTATAACAAAAGTATGATGGGGACCATGGAAGATAAAATATGTGATAGAGAATAGATATTTTATTATTTAAGTGGGGACATAGAAGAGAAAGAAATGATAAAATAATTTGAGTGGGGTTTAAAGTAAGAGAGAGACGTAATAAAATATAATATAACTTTACCAAATATAGAAGTGATGCATATAAAAAAACACCCATAAAAGGAAAGTGATGCATATAAAAAAAACGGAGGGAGTATATATTTGTTGTATAGTCAAAGGAGTTAATTATATTCATAAATTATAGACTATAGTTCCCTATATATTTTCATATATATTATAGTCAAAGGAAATAATTAGCTTGATAAAAATGATAATTATCTATTTATAGTTAGTTGAACTCGAATATGACTTGACTTGGAAATGAACAAACCTGATTGTAACCTGCAAATTATTGACTTAAACCGAACCCGACTCAAACCCGAGAATGACCGGACCTGATTCTAACCCACAAATTATTGACTTGATCCGAACCCGAGGATTACCCTAACCCGTGAAAACCCGAATTAAACTAAACCTATTGTTCACCCGACCCGAATGTAACCCGACTTGTTACTTACCCGACCTAAACCTTACCCAAACCCGATAAGAAGTATTACCCGACGTGACCCGACTCAAGCATGACCTAACCCAAACCCTACCTGCATAGGTTATGGTATTAATCCGAATTGACCCGACTAAGTTAACTCGACCCACTCTAACCCGACCCAAACGACCCGTTTACCCGAATTGACAGCTCTAGTGTTGAGTTTCACAAGTGACTTCATTTAGTCCATTTAGGCCAAGGCGACTTATAACCTGATTAGCAGGGATGCAAAGTCATGGGTCAGACGCATGAATTAGACGGTTCAACCCACTAAAGGGCTCTTGAGACGTCCGGGAAGCACCTTAATACCTAAGTTTCTTAGGCCCAAAAATGTACTTTGACTGTTAAATTCGAACGTTATAGTACTCAAAATCAAACCCTTTTTTGAATTTCGGGACCAAACTCAACTAATGGTGGGAGATGCTTATATAATGTTGTTTAGAACAATACATAGCAATTGATTAGCCACTAATAGATCACATAATTAACGATTCAGCCTTGTTATCTCTAGGTTACAAGGTGAATTCCTCACCAACTACACCAACCCTTGGTTGGAAGTTATATTTTTAGATTGGATAGCGCATAATTGGTCTATCGAGGATTATTGTGTCATAATTGACATACTTTGGTCCATTTATGTTATTATTTTTATTTCTTTAGCTAACTTTCAAGGGTTTTTTCACGAGCTCGTCTCTATGGTTCATTGTTAATCCAAATGGCAATGAAAAATTCTACATAAGTTGGTTAATTAAAATATCATTCTTGACCTTTAATATTCTTTTGATATGTCTTCTTTTCCTAAAATAAAGTATATTAGTTAGTACTCCGTATTTTTTACTAAGGAAATACCAAGTTGTTTTCATTCAAAAATGTTGTCAACTCTTTTGCTACGAAATATAGTCGGAGTTTCCTTCTCATAAACTTCGCAAATATAGTAGGGTTATCCCAACTCAATTGGCATCAATTTGATGAATGCTCATAGTGATCCTAAAATAATGAGATTTATTCAGGCTTGAGCAAATATTGCTAAAGAAAACGTATTTAACTCCACCCTTAGGTATTTCCCTACATCCCCTCAAAAAAAAAAAATGTATTTCCCTACAAGATAAGGGGATCAATATGCTTTGTGTATCTTTTTTATATTGCCTCACAACTTTGTGAGATATTAAAATTTCAAAGTTACAAATAACAATTAATGAAAGTAGTAATTTAGGTGGGGGGGGGGGATCCTTAGTCTTGGGCAGAAGAGATCAAATTTGTAACTTCAAAGTACATATGAATATGGAAAATTTAATATTGAATACCATTCATCTCAAAATTATTTTTTAACAAAACTAGTGAGTATTCTAATAAGGCAAAAGCTAACGAGCACCCCCAGGGCGTTAGATAAGAGAATTAAAAATGAAAATATTAGAGTAAAACTAACATTAATTACACCGAACGACGCGTAATTTTGAGATGAAATTTTTTAATTTTTCAGACCAAAAATAATCCAACTTGGTGAAAGAGATGAAATTTATTACTTGAAAGTACATGTAAGTGATGTAACACTTAAATGCCCAGGTTACTAATTTGGAGGGCAACAACCATCTATCTTGACTTGAGTCCTTGACCCTTTGCTTTAAAGTACTGAATATAACGCGTAATTCGGTCCATAATAAATGATGTTATCTTTTAACAACATTATCTTTTGCAAAACCTAAGAATGGTTCCACAAATTGAAGACGTCAAACCAGTCAGTTGGATATTTAGATGATTAGGTTAAGGGATCTTTGCGTCTCTGACTGTCTATTCACAAATCAGACTAGTCTAAGTTGCAAGTTTAAGAAAGTAGTGAGCTAACATGCCAAAAATTAATCCAAGAGTCGAAAGCATGAAACCGAACCCAGTAACCCCATCATCCAATCTCGTTAAACCGGAGTGTATACTCGTTAAACCGGATGATGAATACGAAAAAAAAAAAAAATTGACATCTGCAATATGCAAAAAAATCAGATTGCATATCTGTTTTTGCACACCACTCCGAACCCGATCTGAATGACCCAATTGCCACCTCCAGACTCACCTTTACCCGTTGAAAACCTGAAAGGATGGTCTTGCATCTAGTGTGTGATTAAAACAAAAAGGCAGAAGGATGATCCATCTAAAAGGCAAACCCAAAAAGTCTATTTAATAGCAACCACTCCACATGCCAGAAAACAACGACAAGTTTTTTATTTTATTTTTCACTTTGTTCCAAGGAGACACAAAAGTCACAGTAACAATTACTCAATTCACAATCTTAATACAGTAAGCCTTAATTACTAAGCAAATTAAGGACAGATCAGCCAAAGTTTCCACATGAAGATGTTCCACAATTGAGCATCACCCTTCAACTAGTATTCCTCAAATTTCAGACAATACTATCACAAGTTGATCTGTCTTACTCCAAAGTTTCAACTTCCCTAGTCACATATCAAACATACATCCAAAACATTACATGAACATCAACTGCACCCCGTCATATGAAACAGAAAGCTTGGCACGGTTTGGCTCTTCTTGTGAAAGCAAAGAACATAAGTTTTATCAAAGATAAGGAAAGGTTATTATTCGTTTCCTTCACGAACAAAGTTTCCTTGATGCTTACATAGCAACTTCCTCTAAGAGCAAATACCCAAACAATGGATTCTAAAATGGGCAACATTAGTCTGAGCTACAAGACAGTTCAAGTCCCACGAGGCCACAACATAAGCTATAAGATTGTCACAGACCATATGTAGAAACTAGCACTCAGTATGCTGTTTTGAGATGCTAATTGTACACTACTTGATTACAGACTCGTACGAAAGAAGATGACAAATTAGATCCGTATCACCACAAAAAGAAAGCAACAGCAGCCAAAAAATGATCACCGTGACACTAATAACAAACAAAATCAGGCTCGCCGACATAAAGAAAGCAGAGGCCTTTGTTCTAACGTCAATTGCAAATAGACAGAACAGTTGAAAATGCTTTTGCTACTGCTTAAACCAAGTAGTAAGGCTAGTAAGCTTATATTCTTTCGAGCACCAATGAATTCTGAAACTCTTGCTTAACAATGAAGAGAGCGTGAAAGAAGTGAGTGGTGAATTCTGATATTCATTCAACTTAAATGTGAAAAAAACTATAAACAATGGACAAAAGTGCTGAAAATTGCTCAACAATCCACACATTCCATCCATCATTGTGAATTTGCAACGAATAAGACAATTCAAAGTTATAATCAACATATAGTTAACACAACGACAACAAACGGAACCATTTGAATAGGATAATTGCCATAACTCCTCTTACTTACAGTCATTAGTACAATGTTAGCCGTCTAGATCAAAGTCAGTAAACTGTATAAAACCAATACATGAATACAGAGTAGAAAAATCTCCATATTCCCAAGTATGAATTGTAAAGTCAATGTATTGCAAACAAGATATATGAATCTCAACACAACTTTTAACAAGGAAAGAAAAAAGAAAAACAATCAAAGATTTACCCCCATTTACAGAAAAGTAGATTATCAAGGAGAACCCCAAATCACTAATCCTCAATTGCTCAAATTCCAATTCCAATCCCTCAACTAGAATCCTCCATTCCGACATCGAATCATCCGAAAACTGATTAATCCTATCACTCATCTTCACCACATTCTCCAGCTATACCCACCAACTTAATCAAATCCAATCCAATCCAAACTGAATCGACGATAAATCGCCTCCTTTTATGCCTCAACCGTGAAAAAAGAATCACTATAACTCCTAAACAATTTAGTACTGTAATGAATAACAAGTGAATACATGAAGAAGAAAAAAGGTAAAGAAAAAAAAAAAAACTATTTGATCATCATAAGGCAATCATATTAGTCACGCATCTTATAAAGCTGTCTCCTTTTAAAAGCTAAGAAACTCACCACTCCAACTTGCAAGATCACAGCAATTCCAGCAAACAATAACCCAACCTTCTTACCAATATTCAAATTAGACTTGTGTTTATGGCTTCTCATAGCGTTTGCTTCCGAATTCGACACACGAGGGTGAGGGTGTAGCGATGGCGGAGGCGGCAATGGTGGTGGAGGCGGAGGAGGAGGCACTCGAGGAGGCGGCGGAGACGAAGGAGGTGGGGAAATTGGAGGAGGAGGCGGAGGAGGCATTCGAGGTGGGGAAATTGGAGGAGGAGGCGGAGGCGGTGGCGGAGGCGAAGGCAATGGTGGTGGTGGAGGAGAGAGCATGAATGGTGGCGGTGTTTGTGGTGGTGGTGGTTGTCGATCATTGATTGTATCTTGCACAGCCTGTGATTGTTGAGATTGTTGTTGGGATGATTGTTGAGTTTGTTGTTGGGATTCAACAACAATGACGAAGAAAGTTAATAAAAGCCCCAATTTCAGCAGCTTCATTAACGGCGGTCTTGGCTCCATTGCAAGATCTTTTAAGAATAAATTCTCAAAATTTCATAGATTTCCTACATACCCACCATTTTCAATCATATGGGTTATCCCCAAATCAAACAAATTTGTGAAATAGCCAACTCGATTTTGCTTCCAATTGAAAAAATTTCAATCACGTTGATCTTAATCTCCTCTCAAATCTGGGTAGCTCTAATTTGCATCCAATTTGATAATCCCTTGATTTCCAGCTCGATAATCGGGAAAAATAAGCAAACCCACAAAATCAAAAGAGGAATATAGGGTTAGGACATGAATATAATTTCTGGGTTTCAGGAATTTGCCACTCATCAATTTATTCTTGTTTCTGAATATTCAAAGAAATTGGGGGATTGGGTTTAATCTGAAAGATAAGAGCTTTCCATTGAAGATTTGAAGAAGAAGAGTTGTCAATCTGAAATTCTTCCGAAACAGCAACAACGAAGAAGAAAGGGGTAAAAAATAATAATAATAATAAAATTAAAAAAAAATGGGTTTTGGGGAATGGATTTGATCTGCTTCCACAGACAGAGTATTACACGCTGTCTTTTAGAGAGAGAAACAGAAAGAGAGAGACTGCAACTACAAGGAAATTGAACGACTTCTTTTTTTTTCTGCTTTTTTTTTTTCATGTTAAAAAACAAAACAAAACAAAATAAAAAAAAAATCCTAAAGCATTATTTATGAGTACTAAGAAAGATCATTAATTATTGTGTTATGGTATGTTGTAAAAGGAAATACAGCAAATACTCCCAAAACCTAAAGGTCTACACAAGCTTAACTAGTGGCAAATTGTTTTTTTGCATCACCTAAAAAATATTACATAGTGTTAGAGCGTTATATGATTTACAAATGGAGGATTATGATATAGAAATTACAGAGTATTATTTGTTCATGTTCAATTAGATACGATTATAAGTTAATTTTTAACTTTCAAATAAATTTTGACTAAAGTGGATTATTTTGAATGTAGATGAATCAACAATACATTACTCAAATTTTCTATTAAGGTCTAATTTCATTCAAATTGTGTCATTTCATAATTGATATACATCCATTGATGCACACATTGGTAATAAGTCAATACTACAACATAAATGCCCACAAGTAAGTGATGTATACTTCCTTACAAGTTTATAATGCTCAAAATATTCACTTTCTCAATGGCAAACCATTAAAATAGGGTCTGTTTTCATTGATTGAACTCAGCTGAACTGAACTGAACTGAATTGAAATGAATATTTTATAAGAGAAGGAAACTAGGAGCTGAACTAAACTGAATTTCAACGTATGAGAACAGACCCTTATTCTTAATTTTTTTATTTTTTTAACACACGTTTTTTTTATCCTATCGTATAGCTCTATTTACATAATCGAATGAATATAATTTTTTTTTTTATATACGTAGTAATATGAATTCCTATTATTTATATTTACAGGCTTCATTGAGGCCTTAAGGGCACTTGTAAGAAACTGGGTACTTGTAAGATACACTAATTAGGCAAAGAAAGCCCATCAGATAAATGATACGGAGTAGCTTAAGCTTAAGTTTAAGGTTAGCCCAAATGTCATAAATGTGGTCCAGATTTTTCATTAACCTTGCTTTTAAGCTTTGTTGGGGAAGGGCCCAACCTTTGTTATTAACTTTTTTTCCCTTGTACCCCCCCCCCCCTTTTTTTCAGCGTGATAGTTTTTTTTTTTTTTTTTTTTTTTTTTTTTTTTGACATAGACAGTTAGGGTCCATCTTTCACCATAAACATTTTTTTAAGAATTGAGATAAACTTAAAATTTTGATCTATCCCTCCATAATAAATAAATAAATAAATAAATTGATCTAGTGGAATGTTTACCCTAGAAATAATATGTAAATCATTCTCCCTAAAAACAACAAACACAGTAGGGGATCTTCAATACGAAGTATAATTATTGACCAATTTATCTTCGGCATTAGCCAAATTGTTTATAATTAAATTGATCAATTTTTTGATTTGAGGTTGTAAAAGGTTTTGCATGTTTTACCCCATCAAATTATTAACTAGATTATCACTTGTATAAATAAAGTGTTTACTGAAAGGGTCTTATAAGAGTTATAGCGAGTTACGGATCTTGAAGTAAGAGTATAGTAGGACCTATGTAAGTAGGTTAGAAATTAAACTTTATATAAGTAGCTTAAGAATAATAATATATTTAAGTAATCAACACTAGATAACTAGATTAAGGGCGTGTTCGGCGTTAGCTTTTGAGTAGCTTTTAGGTAGCTTTTAGTGGTTTGACTTGGTCAAACCACTACTCAACAAAAAATGTGAGTGTTTGGCAAAGTAGTGGTTAGGATAGCTTTTAGTGGTGGAGGTAGCTTTTGTGAAAAGTTAGAAATATTAGCTTTTGAAATTAGAGGTAGCTGTTGAAAATTTAATCTATAGTTTTAAAAATAAAATATTGATTTTTATATGTAACAGCTAGTCAACCACTACTTTACCGAACACTCATATCTAAATTATTTATCTTCACAGCTAACAACTACTTACACAGCTAACAACTACCTACACAGCTACAGCTACCTTCACAACTATATTTTGCCGAATACACCCTAAGTATAAGAAAGCAACAAACAAGTACCTCAAGTAGAAAAAATGGTCCATTTGACCATTTTACAAAGTGGCAATAGATGGTTGTATTTAATTTTCCCAAGTTTTCTAAAGGCACTTTCACTTCAGCTTAATTGTTGTATAGCTTAGTTTAGTTCAACTCCAATCAGCTCAGTTCAGCTCAATTCAATTCAGTTCAATTCAGCTCCTAATTTCCTTCTCTCATAAAATATTCATTTAAGCTCTATTCAGTTCAATTCAGCTCCAATTAGTTCGGTTCAGTTCAGCTCAGTTCAGTTGTGTGAACAGACCCTAAGTAGCCTATTGAAATTTTATCATACTACATCCGGTTTTATTTAGTTGACACATTTATTTTATTACACTTGTCAAGACACTATCTGTACTATTAATGTCTTTAGTTTTCGACATTGTAAAATTATAAAAAGTGTGTATTATTAAAATACAAATTAATATTATTCAAACAAAATTCCACTTGACTATATTTTATTAAAATATAAATTAAAGTGTAATTTGTGAATAGTTAAAAGTCAAATGGTATTTAAAAATTAAAAAAAAAAAAAAAAAAAAAAAAAAAAAAAAAGGGTAAAAGTTCAAAATTAGCAAAATGGCATTGGGGGAAATGAACCAATAGAAGTGAGAGTACAAGGACAAAGATATTGGTGAAGAAGGTTTGTTACACAAGTTTAAAGATAAGCATAAATAAATTAAAGTTCCAATTGCAGGCAGAAAGGAAAAATGAAGGGAGCAGCGTTATTTAAGTGTTCTCTAGCTCTATTCTCTGCCTTGTTTATTTCTGCAAAAGAGGTACAGCTCTTTCTTTCTCCAGTATTGTTCTATCAAATCAATCTGTTGGATTTTAGCTCACTAACCACCAGAATTAGCTTGGTTTTCGAGCCACTATGTGCCAAGCTCAATTAACCCCTGTACTACTTCTGACTTCTGGCTACACTAACCTCCCACACTAAAAACACACACCTTGGACTGTCCATGCATTATATTGTTAGTTTGTTACTCATGCTAGAGCATCCACATAAGAATTAAGAGGCAAATCGCGTAACAGAATGGATGGTAATGTTGATCGTATAATGAGTGATAGTATAATTATTTGAGATAATTACACTTATTAACATGGATTATGACAGAATTATAGTCATTGACATGAAACTGTATGTATAACATACACTTAGGGCTTGTTCTCATAGGCTGAACTCGGCTGAGTTGAGCTGAACTGAACTCAATATTTTATAAAAGAAGGAAATTAAAAGATGAACTGAACTAAACTGAAAATAAACGTATGAGAACAGACCCTTAGTATTTTGAGCTTGTTACTAAAATAGAGTACACTGTATGAAATAAATTTGGTCATTAATGAGTATTTCAGTGACATAATTAAGATAAGTTAATATCATTGAAGCTTTAAACGGCGAAGTTTGTGACAAATTGATTATACTAAAAACAAGTTTATGTTAATGATTGTAATTCAGCTTAAATTCATGTTAATGAATGTAATTTTGCTTAAATAATATCATTTGTACTAACTATTTTTTCTTGTCTTATAGAAATATTAGTCCTTCAAAAAAGACAAATGAATGTGACTATCAACTGTGAATTCTGATTCCAAGCCTCAGTATTTGATATCTTTATTTGTCATCTTTGTCTTATTATGTGGATGAGACCATCAATAGATTTTCCTCAGTTGGTCAGATATCACATTGTTTTCAATTCTTTTTTTCCAATTTTGTTTGTAATTGAAAACAATGTAATAAGTCAACAAATGGTTATTGTTACCCTTATTGTAGCTTGTAGCATGCTAAAATATTTCAATTTATAATATTATGTTACCTAAAGTAGGATAATAAACTATCAATGATCTGATTATATTAGCGTGGCTATAAAACATCTTTTTAAAAAGCAATTAACATATACTGTTCATATCATTTCAAATAATGAAGCGTTAATTTTATATTGTATAAAAGTCTTGGCAAAACAAAATATATATATAATACGTACGAGTTTACAAATTACAACCATCCGATTCATGCAAGTCAATGTCAAGACTACCAAAGTACCAATTGTTGTAACAAAATACAAAATCTAACAAGCATTAAGCTGATCTAGTTGAATTAGCCCTACAATTCAACACTATCAATTTCCTACACAGTAATTGACAACTTCTGTAGCTGACTTAATTCCTTCAAAAACTATTATGGAGTACTACCTTGATTAGCTTCCTATGTTAATGTTAATATATGATCATCTAGCAAAATGTGACATTACTGTAAAACCTTGTTACATGCACATTCATTCATTCATTCCACAAAGCAAAGATTGGAATCTGAGGAACAGCACCCAAATTATGTTTACTAAGCCGATCACCACCACCATCATTACTAATCGCGCCCTCTTCATATTTCTGACCTTGTGGTGATAAGTACATTGGAGATGAGTGGCTCTCATTGATATTACTAGAAGGTAAAACCAATGACATTGTGTTATCAGGGCAATCTTGAGATCGAGTCTGATCATCACCTTGAGGTTTCCACATGATACTAGGCAAGTTATTTGAGGCATTCTCATTGCCATTTGTTATAACAAGTGGTTGAGAACTAGCATTGTAGTCCTCTAGGCTAATCGCCGGAGGTGGAGATGATGAGTCCTTATTTGGTGATGGTCGCTTAGCTTGATCAGCTCCAAGGAGAGTTGAGCTCGAGCATATTCTCTTGACATCGTACCTACTTATGTCGAAATTGGTTACTGCACTTGTGCCTCTAAACTTGATAGCTGCTATGTCATACGCTTGTGCTGCCTCCTCTTGTGTGCCTAACATATGCACATGAAAATATTAATGAAACAAGCACACCGTGATCACGAAGATGCACTAGGAACGTGCATCAAGATATTTGTTAATAGAAACACGTTTGTATCTTAACAAAGTAAAATGTGAAAGGTCTAAGATATCAGCAATTAGTTAAATTAAGGTATCAAAAATGGAATTAAACCTCGTCTACAATGTTTTTACACGTGGTTGTCTCTATAGTGAATATCGAGACAAGTTTGCAAGAGCAAGAAGTATATTTTCAATAAGTTATAAAGAAAAACATTAGAAAAATAAAAGGAGTAGAAAAAATTACTGAAAGTGCCAAGGTATAAGTCCTTGTTGCCTGCTACCCTTCCAATTCGAGCCTGCCACCTTCCATGTTGATGATGTCTGAAAGCAACGAGCAAAAATAAACTTAGAAAATAACAGCAAATTTGAGATACATTTATTTATTTTTATTTACCAAAAATGTAAGTCCAATGCAATAGTCACATGCAAATAATATCCAATGTAGTATTATTCATTATTTTTCCCAATTATTGAATTTTATGATTGAAAATAAAAGCTGCCAACTTTGCACTATTATTAACTATAATTATTGACTTTTACTTTTATTGTTGAAAGCCTTTTAATTGTCCTCCTCTGTCACACATACATACCTTGTTACTCCTCGGTACATTGATGCTCCTCTTGAAAATCCACTGCTTTGCCTGTGTCAAACACTCAAACACGTCATGAACCATTTTTAAGCACTCGATCTCTTTGACCGAGACCCTAATAGTCGTGTACGTTGATAATGTAATTTAAACTAACTCGTTAAACATGACGCTACATTGAGTACATTACGTACCTCCTTAGGTGGGCAACAAATTCTTGTCTATTCATGTTCTTCATATCTTCAAGTTCTTTCTCATAATCAGTTAGCTAGTTAGGGAGTAAAGATCAAAAGTTAAAAGTCAACGAAATCTGACTACAGTGAAATCAGTAGATTTGCTTGATTAAGTAGTGTTTGACTTAAACAACGAACTTACAGGGAAATTTATATGAGTAGTTGGGCCCCAGTATTTCAGTGCTGCTAAATCATAAGCTCTAGCTGCCTTTTCTTCTTTGTCATAACCACCTAATGTAAACAAACATTACCTCCATATCAGTATAGTGTTAGATTGAGTAGTCATAGTTTAACATCATTGAACGATGTGTAATTTTGTCATATAGGGAGATGAACCATTGATAACTCGTCTTAATATGACTATGATTCTAATAGTATTAGTATGAGTAATAATGGTGTATAAATACATGAGTACGAGTAACACTTCATATACTCTACAGTCTACATGAGGACTACTCTTATCTAATAGAATTCACTTCCTGTACAATCAATACGGACTACTCGTAGTAGATTTTATCAACACTTACATCTTTACGTTTCTTTGGAATTAGTTTTTACGAGTACAAAAGGAACATGACAATTAAATCCGAACAAAAGAGTACTAATGTCGTGGAGCACAAGAATTTAAACCAAGCTGCTTACACAAGAAGTTAACAGAGCAAAGAGTAATAGATGTGATGCAAAGTATCAAATCCAAGTCTCTGATGCCATGATGTGATTCTTATAGACTTTTACAATAACCCCTTTCAACAGTATAATTATTTAAGATCAACTATAATTATAAATATCAAAATTGATTTTAAACCATTGGTTTATAACCAACTTTTCATTATTTCAATGCATGCAATTTGAATATAAGCAGAATAAAAAAGAAAAAAGTACACAATATTCGCTAATAAATGAAAATTAAGCTTTTAGTACTACTAATTTCAGAAGAAAGTAAGTCAAAATAAAGTTAAGGAAGTTTCACATACCAAGGTAAACTGCAATATTGAATAATTCCAAATTCCAGAAAGTGAGAAATGAGGGAGAAAAAAAAAATCAGTTAGTTTCACGTGAAATTACAGAAGAAACGTATAAAACCCTTCACCAATCAATAAAATTTTCAATTAAATTGTGTTTTTTTTGGAGAAAATAAAATAAAATTGAACAAACCTTGCCTTCCTTTCCTAGTTTGTCCTTCTTTTCTACAGCTATTATCCCATAAATGTGCCTCATATCTTCCTGTCCACCTATGCCTGGCCAATATTTCCGAGTTAAAAAATGAGCGCAACCAAAAAGATAAGAATAGTGACATTAATTTTTGAGACGGAGAATGGAAAATAAAAACATACTTGGTAACTCCACGATATTGAGATGTTCTATGACCGAATGTGTCAAGTGATTTTCTAGGGACGAGTTCTCTACCACCATTAACCAACTTAGCTTGCCCTCGTTTCTTGACATCGGTCACCTCTTCGAGCCCTACCATCGGGCTAACAGATAGTGAAAGCGGTTGGGGTTGAACACCATTGTCGATGCCACTAAAATGAGTGGTTGTAGTGTGTTCGACCGTTGGCGGGGTTTGCCTTAGCCAGGATTTGAATTGAGAGATGGCAGCCCCGTCAAAGGGGGATGATGAGTAGTGGCATTGAAGAGGTTGCGCGCCACTGAGAAGTTCACCTCTATTTTCATCACACACGCCGCCTCGAGGGGCGGGAGGATAAGGGCATGCTTGAATTGAGAGCGAATTATTATTTGTGGAGAATTGGTCTTGGGGAAGTGCATTTACGTTGATTACCATTTTGTTTTCTTGGTCTTGAGAAGTTGAGTAACAACATCCCATAAAATCTTCTAGCTTTGGTTGCTCATCATTTTCATACTTCCACTCTAGTTTTTCCAAAATATAAAATCATCAATAAATTAATTAATCTCCATGATTTTTTTTTTAAAATTTACTTTTTTTATTGTACCAAAAATAATGCATTTATATGGGCATGCAAGTATGCAACATACAGAACAATTATACTAGACTATACTATAAATTTTAGGTAGGGCAATTTTAAAAAGGTTAACTTGGGTAATTATTTAAAGATGATAATGGACAAAGAACATAAATTTTGTGTACAAGATTTAAATATAGACAATAAAATTTGTGTACAAAATTTAAATAGACATGTGTCTTATCGGGAAAAAAGTGTTACTTAAAATAAAAATATTGCAACTAAAAAAGAACGAACCTTGAAGTTGAGGGTGGGAGGTAGTAAAAGGAAGGTCGTGAAGACCATCATTAAGGGCGGTAGCAAAGAGGGAGCCATCGGAGCGAAGAGGCATAAAGGAGGTGACGTTGTTGTTACGGTGTGGCGGCGAAGACGGTGTCGAATTCCTTTTATCAACCTCTTGCAGTTGGTGGTGTGAGTTATGAGAGCCATTATCATCAACTATATGGTGATGAAGGTGAGGGTGTGGAGTGAGAGAAAATCCTAACCAATTGCTCATTTTTTGTTGTTGTTGTTTATGTTTGTGTAGGTAGTAAAATGTGCAAGTGTATATATTAGTTGAAAGAAGCTCAAAGTTCTAAGAAATAGGGGAAACCGACCCACAACTCACTCTGTCATCAGGACTAATAAATCTAATGTTAGACAATATGAAAGACAAATTAAATTCAAACTTGGTCCTTACTACCTTTCAATTTATCTGACGTTTTTTTCTTATAACTTTTTCATACTAACCTTCTTTGGGAATAAGCTCATTTGTGAATTGGATTATATTAGTCGAGTATTATTAATTTTTTATATCTTTAGTACGAGTACATACATATGATTTATAAGATTTACATTACTTAAATTTCGAGTTATAGTATAGATTTAAAGAGTCTGTTTTATACATCCGAGTATATCGTACACTTGGTTATTTGCTCAATAATTTTTGCTCATTTATTAAATGAGCAATTTTTTTTGCTCATTTTAAAGAGTCTGTTCTATACATCCGGGTGTACGGTACACCCGGGTTATTTGCTCATTAATTTTTGCTCATTTATTAAATGAGTTTTTTTTTTTTTGCTCATTTATTAAATGAGCAAACGGTACACCTGGATATGATAAATTCTCGTAAACTTATACTCGTGCCCGCACAACTTAGTTGCGAAATATGGAGATAATAAGTATTAACATGTTTTTCAGAGTATCACTTTACCAATAATAACTAAATAATTGTTTTCTTATGCACGTAAATTGATTGCATTAGTAATTAATTGTTAGCTGATTGTATTAGTTGGTTTACACAAAATTGTTTGATAAAAGTACTTGTACTCGCTAATTATTATAGACTTCTTATACTGAGAAAAGGGTCCTTAACACAAAGTGGATGTCCAATTTGTTAACCAATAAGAAAATCATACAACAAAATGGAGTAATAACAAAATTAAAAAAAATCTTGGGTATCGTTCCGTGAATGAAATATCCCTCTCCCTTCCCCCCTTTCAGTCGTTGCAGGGGTAGCCTTAATACAGACAGCAACAAATAACAAAGATCAGAGCGACTTGGAAGATTTTATCCACTGTGTTTGCATCTATTTTAGCTTATTGTCACCTCAAATCTAGACCATCCAAATCTAAACCATATCAAATAAATCAACGGTTGATAATTGCAAATATATGGTGGTAAAGTATACCTGATTCATGATCAAGCAGGAAACACTTCTTTTGTATAAACCGTTGAATTTTAATTATCATTTTTAATAATGTAGCAGTATAAGATATTATTGAGGAGGAAGTCAAATAAATATGCATAATTTGATGGTCCAATATTCACACTACTTTATCATAAACTAAGATATGATAAAATTAATAAATGGGAAGAAGCCAAAAAGGGAAGGGAAAACGTAGGTTACTACTACGACTACTAGTCCTTGGAAGTTAGAAGAGAGGAAAATAAGGCACCAATGGAGAGTTGCAATTTGGTGTTGGATGGTGTGGGGGATCAGCTTAACCCACACCCACACATGGGTTTGGGAGGTGAGTTGTGCCTGCTCTAGTCATTGGACTCTGTCTTACTAATATAGAATCAACTACTCGGACTTTATTCGGCATGGGAAGACTGTTCTCGACCTTACCCAAAGTATCTGATTTGAACTTAAAATTAACCCGAACTAGTTTTAACCGAGAATAACCCAATCTGAACAGCCTAATTGTCACTTTCATAAAAAGTACGAGTATATAAATTAGTAAAACATATCATGGGTTATTAACGTATAAGGCAATAGAAGATAGAACCAAAGAAACCTAACTAACAAGATTGACTCGTGCTCGATTGTTTGAATTGAATTATCCGAACGAATTAGGGATCCGATTTTAAATGAAATCCAAACAGATTGAACTTGATATGAAATTAGTCAAAACCCAATGATGATTGATATGAAAGTTTAGATAAACAATAGCAAAGCTATGACTGATTAAGTGAGTTCAATCCTCAATTCTAAATAGCTCCTAAATGTTCACCCGTTTAACTTAAAATATAAACAGCCTTATTAATAATATGGTAAATTGGTAATTTGTGTTTTTCACCTCATTTATCATGGACTCAAAACTATAGTTTTTCTCTGAGACTCTGAAAATAGCCGAATTGTTCAGTTAATTTGGTATAGGCCTACCCGAATCCAACAATCCAAACCAGAACTGTAAAAGACATGAATCGACTTATCTCAGGCTTAGAAGTGGGTGGTTCAGGTTGGTTCAATTTCACAAAACTTATTAGCATAAACATTGCCTAAATTGTTGGCCAGAGTCAGAGACAACATCAAGTTACCAAGGATATGTCATTTTAAACTACAGTTTTACACCATTTTAATTTAATTGCATTCACTTGCAATTATACTGCAGTTAAATTAGATTCTGCTAGAGCCAGATTATTAGTTGAATCCAAGTAATTGAAAAGAATGCACCTTTACTGGAGAATTTTAAATCAGGAATGAAGGAAAATGAGCACTAAGCAGAACTGAAGTTTTTACAAAGCAAACTAATCGGCTTTTTTACAGACATTTAGTTTCAAAGAAAGAAAGACGAAGGAAAACGAACAAGATGCAGGACTGAAGTTTTTACAAAACTAATTCTTTGGCTTTTTACAAACATTAACAAAAATCATGTCAACTTTACAAGTGAAATCAAGAAAAAATAATGTGTATTGCTGCATTATGACACACTAAAGGTAGACAGAGAGAACCAGCATGCTTCAGAAAGACACAAATCAAAATCTATCAGTTAAACCATCACCTTGAGATTTTCCTCATATAGCAGCGAAGAACTTCATTAAGCAAGCTGAATGTACATTTCTGATCAATTCAAGAAAATCGTGATAAATATACAGGTAACTTTGAACTGAATTATCTTTCATGGTTCATTCCTAGAAAAAAATTACTGGAGAATCTAAACTTACTGGTAATATGATATAGCCATAACAACAATCAGACATCACCAATTCACCACCAGATTCAGCCCCAAGCCATGGAACAAGCATAATTGACAACCAGCTTACCATCAATTCCGAAGTTCTGCAATGATATCAAGAGTTAGCTGTTTATAAGTTGCTTCAATACAGCAAATTCTTAATCATCTTAATCCCCCCCCCCCCCTCTCTCAGGTGGTGAAGGGGAAAGGGTCGGGTGCAGGCAGTGGTAGCTAGCCCAGAAGATTGGCATAGTGATACAGAAAAACCATATTACAGAGGTCCTAATACCATCAAACTAAGAAGTATTTGGATGATTAAATATGCAGCATTATTCAGCTAATTATCAGTCACCCGAAACTATCTCAAACACCACAAACCCCTGTTTTGGTCTCACCAGATCAATTTCTAAGATGTGCAAGCAACTGTTCGATATAGTTGCTAAGTACAACTAAAGATACCTGAATTACCTTACCATGACATAAGATTTCACAAATAGGTTGGGGGAATTAGAAATTTGTTCCACAGGTGGTCTCTCTACACAGTCAAGGAGCTTCAAAAGAAGTTCACATGTGATATAAACTCTGTAAGTCTGTATGCAATCAACAAGCTGATCAGGCAACATAGACTCGTGGAGACCATAAACATAAGAATTTCATGGAACAAAATTCCATCAAACTTTTAAGAGCACTAAGCTAACCCTCAGAATTCAGGCATTCAGCTCATGTGCGCTTTCCACACAGAACACAAAGGACACACACACACCAAAGGCATTCAATATTGAGGCCTGAGTTCATGCACTAATTGACCAGTTAGGTCAGGTCAACTCCACAGGCTACTGCCATTGCCCACTATACAAGAGCTCACTTCTACATAATCAGACATAAGTGAATGATAAAAATATCATGTAGAAGCTAATGAGATCAAACCAACTTCCTGTGCAATGTTTATGTGTCACATGGCACTCTCCTCATACGCAAATGTTTCAATTTCAAATAATCCCCTCAATTCAAAAATGATTGTTGCTACTAAGTATTGAACATGCAACTTGTAAAAGGAAAAACGAGAGCTTAACCATCAATACATTATAACATCATTGTTAAGTATGTCAAATCAAACGATAATAAAGTTTGAAAGATTTAAGCAAGTAGTAAAACATCTTACTTTTTTTATGGTGATAACAAGAGAGTATTACAAACATCTTCTACTCTAATTTCTTGCAGAAATTATATAATCTAAAGCTAAATTTTCTTTTCCAAACTGTAGTAATAGTGAAATCTAATGCAAATATGTTTATCAAACCTTCAATGCATAGGAAGCCATAGAGCAATAAACATCCAACTGTCTCTAATTCTATCAAGATCTTAAACTCATTTTCTCCCATCAAGCAAAACACAACTTACATTGTAGAGATCTATCACCGATTCATCTGGATTTGGAGAAAAGGCACTATTGATGTAAACAAACTGTACACAGACACCCAAAAGGAAAAGGAAAAAAGATTAATTATTTATTTCAGGCATGGAAAAAAAAGACATAAAAGCCACCTACCAAGGTATCTTTGTGAAGTTGACGACGTAAAAAATCAATAACACTAGCAAATTTATCGGTGCCAGAAACCTGAAAGAAGGAAACAATGTTTAGGAAAAAGAACAGAGAGTTCTCAAGTGAAGAACAAAAGTAATAAACTGTTTCTCAGTCTTTATTGTAAAAAATTAATCAACAACCAAGCAGATAAACCACAAAAAAAATGTAAAAGATGATTTCTTAGAACAAATAATCCCAAAAAAAAAAAAAAAAAAAAAAAAAAAAAAAAAAAAAAACTTTATATTCAGCGGACACAACAATTAATAATCCCAAAAAAAAAAAAAAAACACTTTATATTCAGCGGACACAACAATTATTTCCCATTAGTGCAGCACTTGTCTACATTTCAGATACAATATCGGATTGACAAGTTATTTCCACATAAATAGATACAGGGAATGAAGGATATCTCATACAAAGGTAGACATAGAGAGAAACAGAGAAGTCATCCAAAGCTGCTATGACATAAAGTGACAACGATTATACATGTATGATATTGCTATGACGGAAAGTGACAACAATTATAAAAACCATGAAAGAGAGCATTGGCAATTTAAAATTTTCATATTTGGTTACAACTGCAAACATGTAATCTTGTCAATGTAGAGAAACTATGTAAACTTGTCTGTTATATTTCTATACATTCAATCAAGTTACACATAGCATCAGTTACACTAAAGACCTTAAAATTCGACCATCACTAGAGCTGATGAATAATACCAAGCCATCTTTTGAACTAATAAGTTAGATGATAGCCTACATTCACACAAAGTTAAATTAAAAGTGTCTAGTGTTAACAATCTGATTATGTTAGCTTGTTAGTAGCATTGTCTCACTTAAAAGTTGTGGTAACAGAAAAGGCCCCTTATGACAGCCCCAGAATATTTGATGTTCTGCTACACAGAAACTGCTACGGTGCTACCGGCCCACCACAGTCATAAACTGACACCAATTGCAACTTCTTCCCCCTTTAACTTAAATACAACCTCACCAGAATATTATATTTGATAGAAAAGTGATATCTTGTGGTAATCTATTAATAAAAGTCCACTTTCATTACTCAGTCTAATTGTACCATTTAAGGGTTTCAGGGATCCCAATATATGCTATACCGCTCAATTGTTGTCTTTGAAGAGTGTCAATGACAATTTATTACATAGAAAGTCTCCACAATTTATAATGATCACTAAGCCACAACAAACACTTAGTGTGGTGATTCCTTGAGTACACTTTGCCAGTGAAACTTTTGTTGTGTTGTTATGCCCAGGACTAAAGCCATTGTTGCGGTTATACTCTAGCATACTCATACCCTAGTCATTATGGAATCCAGAATGACACCCCCCCCCCTCCTCTTCTTATGGTTTGCAGTCTCTGTTTATAAACAGAAATATACGGCATATATAATCACCAAATCATATACAAGTAAACACTAATCCGCAATTTCTTAACCCTTGTAGAGGTAAATGAATATCAAAGTCTCTCAAAGACAGGTTAACAAATTTCTACTTGATCTATAAATTAACATAATCTTCCTTCATCTTCGACTAGACACGCTACATTGCTCTTCTCCTACATATTGATACTTCACACACAATGCTATCTTTGCTCTTTGGCTCTTCACCCTTACATGAGACTCCTTTTGCCATTGTATTCCCATATATTCCACTTTCCATAAAATCTTGATCGAATCTATATCCTAAACGAAATCAGTTATGCCAAAAGATTTTTTAATCATGCCGTTCTTTGCCCTTATAATCATGATTGAGAAGCCCTAACCCATCCCAATCAGCTCATTTTCAACGAAAACATGATCAGAACAACGAATTAGGTAAAACGCTTTGAAGCACCTAATCCCTCTTCCTACCATTAATAGACCTGCCCTTAGTCCTAAGAAATACACATAAGATCATAATTCATAACCACACTCGGCAAAATCTTGATCATCCCAATTTTATAAATTCATAATCATAATACAATAAACTTTATTAATTGTCACACTTCCATTCATCAAAACTTGAGGATTAAAGAAAAATAGAATACCCTTTTCATCAATTCACAAATTTCGCAAATTCTAGGTATTCAGATGAATTAAAACAAAAAATTAACAAAAACCCAGAAGAAAAAAGGGAAGACCTTGAATTTTTGTTGCTTGAGAATGGGAGCATCACCAGTAGCCCTCAAGTGAATAACAACTGCAATATACAAAAACACCCAATAAAAATTAGAAACAGCAAATTAATCAAAATAATAAGGGAAAGAATATCAAAATAATTGAGGAAAATGGTGACCCTTTCGAACAGCACTGGGGGATTCGGAAGCCATGGGAAAGAAGCTTCGATCAATAAATCTACAGTATATCTATTCTATACCCCTTTATAAAAGTGCCGAGCAAATGAATAGTGTGCTGACGAAATTGCCCTCCCTATTTATTTTTTTTTACTAATTTTTTTTGCTAAAAGGAATGAAATGCTCTTGATAGTCTTGAACCAGGGTCTTACCAGGTGAGTTACAATGAAATGCTCTTGTTTACCAGGATTTTTTTTATCATCATTTGTTTGATTTAGGCTTTAATTAGGTTGATTTTTGCAATTTGTAAGTGATAAGGGAATTTACTTATTGTTTGTGATTTAGTTGTTTTTTGTAGTGAATAACACTGATGTAAAATAATGCTTTTCTAAAAGTTCTGGAATATGAGATTATCGACTAAAGGATGGTAAATAAAGCATATGACATCGAGAAGCATATTATGTTGTGGTATGAAGTTATGGTCTTTTTCTTTATTTTCTCAATTTACCCTTAATCTCTCAATTCATTTGTAGTAGCTTAATATTTTTATAAAATACCCCAAATTTAATTTACCTTTAGTCTGGAATTTCTGATAGATGGGTAAAAATTATAAAATTTCCAATTAGCAAGTGTTGTTTATTGAATACTCGGTTGTTTGTTGGTAATTTACCCTAAAATGTTTACTGTGTATGATCTAACAAGTCAATTTGGGGGGTTTACTTAATTTAGAGTGTTATACTGATTGTGAGTTTGTTAATGAACTAGATATTAGTTGATGTTCTATCTTATACAATTGATCCTTTATTCTTTTGTATCAATGTGGAACTGAGGCTTTGAGCTTTGTCATGACTAACGCGAAGCAAAGATTAATCTAAATTGAGTGAATTAAGGAATTTAGGTGATTGAGGATTAGTTGTTTGTAATATTTTTAATAATAGGGGAAAAAAAGGTTTTGGAATTATTGCTGATTTTTTACTTTCTATTGAATAGGTGATTGACGATTAATCTAAACGCTTCTTTGTTGTAACTTCTTTTTCTTCGAATTCTTTGTTTACTTTTAAATTATTTTTGGATTCAGAATTTGTATTGTAAGTGGGTTGCCTCTCCTACTTCATGGATGCAGCCCAAACCCCTTTTTCAATCTTCTCAAAATTTAACACATTTTGAGCTGCCAAATGATGATATTTGAACATTGCACATGGGCTTTGAGTTCATTTCTTAAAATGGCATGAAATTTGTTAGAATCTGATGGCAATAGTTTATTCAATAATTGACAATAATTAGCATCAGGCCATTATGTGGTTTACTTTCGACTATATCCCTTCATTTGTCCTGTGTATTTTGGCTTGCTTATCTAGTTATCTTAATGACTAAATGTCTTTTTCCCTCTGTTCTGTATTGATCATTTTGTAACTAACCTATGAAATCCTAACACACTGATTAGAATTAGCTTGTCTTTTGCTTTGGGATGGAGTCTTATTTAGGATTGTAAGAGGGTTGCTTTCCTTCATGGATGTAGGCATGTAGCCTTATCTATTAAGATTTTCTTAGAATTTAACACATTTTTAGCTGGCAAATGATTTCTGAACATTGCGCAAGGGCTTTGAGTACAATTTTTAAAATGGACATGGAAATTTGCTGGGATTATCTCTGACTACGTCCCTTAGCTTGTAGCTTGTCTTATGCAGTGTGGCTTGCTTATATGAATGAAATAATGCCTTTTTATCCTATATTCTTCTTAACAATCTGAATTTTAAGATGGTTTTTACTAAAGCGGGTGATCTTTGGTTCAGTACTTAATTTTTATTTTGCCAATATATTGAATGAAGCATATTCTAAAGATTGTTTTTACTAAAGTGGGTGATCTTTGGTTCAGTACTTAATTTTTATTTTGCCAATATATTGAATGAAGCATATTCTAAAGATTTTGTCTATACTGTTGGTCATTGCTGCAATTCTGGGATAATTATTCTAAACTGACAAACAACCCCTTCGTCTACTAAGTATGATGCGCTTTCCAAGTTGCCCCCCAAGAAGCAGTGTTGCTACGACAGGTATCTTTAAACCCATATTTCATTTTTTTTTTCTCGATTCCGGCCTAATAGTGAGCAAGGTTTTTAGTTCCTTATTTTATTTATTTAAGCACAAGATATGCACCTTAAAAGGATGTGGGATGGGTATAGGCTAGAGGCAACTCTTATATGAGAATTTCAAGGCATAGTCTTTCTTTTCTATTTCTGATTTGGAGTTCTATATAAGTTCTATTATAAAAAAACTGATTTTTTTTTTTTTTTGTTTTGTTGAATATACAGCTGCAATTTATATGTTACGTAAGATAATTAATTAATTTGCTGACGGGTATGGCAAAATTTGCTATTTTTCGTTATTTTGATGTTTTGCAGAAATGATGGATTATTTGTCGGAGGAAGTTGAATCTATGTATTTTGAATTCTCTCCTTATATTGGTGATACAAAAGATTTACTTATTGCATATTATTTGACCACTCAATGTCTCAATGTTTGTTTTGATTTTGAAACTATGATTTTTTTATTATGTGTTAATTTAATTTGTTGAGGGCACATTATCACCTCTAATTAAGGAAAACTATGTTGTCTAATATGGTTAACAAACATGTTATGGTTCAACTTAAGGACCTCGAGCGTTTGTTTCATGTTACCAAGTGCCGAGAAGGTGGTACCACCATCGGCCATCTTCCTCATCGTTCACTTCATCATTCAATACTAATACTAGACCATTTTACATTGGTCTATAATTCTTTTCCTTTTGTTCAAAAGCTTATGATAAATGTCAATTGTCAAGTGAATGCAAGCTTTTCTTTTCTTTCTTTTTTCTTCTCTTTATTGATGAGAAACATTATATGGAAAATCCAAGTAACATAAGTCTATCATAACTATCTTTTTAAATCGCATTTATTTTTTTGAGAAAATCTTTTTAAATCACATCATCGTTCTTTAACAAAACCCCAAAAGATGCTAATATCTTTTTAAAACCTTATGCAACTAAATTTTATATTCGTTTTCCAAAAATTTAAATAACAAGACATTTAAAGAATTGTTTCAAGCGCTGTTGTAAAAAAAAAAAAAAAAAAACAAAACAAAAAACAAAACAAAACAAAACAAAAAAAACCAAAAATATTTTACTTTTTACTTCAAAAAAATTATTTTGCTTTTTTTTTTCTCAATTAAAACCATTATTCTTTAATAAAGAAAAATGGAAACTAATAACCGCATCCTATATTTTCGACGTGTCACCTTCTAACTAGTCAAACTCCATATTTTTTAAAAAAAATTAATAATGTAATTTAAATTATTTTTTTTAATTTTAACAAAAAAAAAAATCACCTTCCCCGACCTGCTTGAACTAGTCCCTCGCCATGCCCACCCCCTTCCCCACCAGTCGGAGACATCCCCACGCGTCTCCACGCCGGCCTGACCATCCCCATCCCTTTCCCTATCGGCCTGACCAACCCCACCCCTTTCCCTGCCGGCCTGAAATAAAGTCACCCCCCTTTTCAATTGAAGCGTACTTCGAAAGGCTTGAATCAAGCTCACCTCCTTGCTTTTCCTTTTCCTTGTCCAATTATTTCTCCATTAGTGACGTGTGACAAAGCGTAGCAATTTTTTTTCCTCGCAAAGTTAAACTACAAAATATTCAAAAATTATCAAGGTTTAAATTATTATAATTAATTTTTTTTATTGAATCACATCATCTTCTTTAAGAAAACCTAATTTTTTTGAAAAATCAATTTGTTTTTTTTTTTTTATAAAACCCGTTTAAAAAAAAATCATTTTATATATCCAAAAAGTCAAATATAAAATTTTAAAAGAAATTTACAAGCACAATAGGAGTAATTTTTTGAGGAAACAACAATACTAAATTGCTAATAACATTGAGAATTTTTTCTTAAAAAAAAAACATTGAAAATTTGATATTCAAATAGTAATAATATAATAAGCGTCTCTTAAAAAAAAAAAAATTAATCTCATTTCCTCTCACTTCACTTCCCCATACTTTCCGGTCTTCCACTCTTTCTCTCTCCTCTTTCCGGGTCATCGCCGATAACTCTCCGGCGAGTTCTCTTCGCTTCAATCGTCGGAAAACTCGAAGGCGACGTTAGCTTCAGTTGATTCTTTCTCTCTCCTCTTTCCGGGTCATCGCCGATAACTCTCCGGCGAATTCTCTTCGCTTCAATCGTCGGAAAACTCGAAGGCGACGTTAGCTTCAGTTGATTCTTTCTCTCTCCTCTTTCCGGTCGCGTATCTCCGATAATTCTCCGGCGAACTCTCTTCACTGCTGCATTTCATTTCGATCGTCGGAAAACTCGCCGTAAGTTTCTGTTCTTGCTTTCTCTCTTTCTTCCTCTATTTGTCCGTCTAATTTTTGTGTGTTATTTCTATGTGAGTTGAATGATTCTTTCTTTTATTTGTGATGTTTGCTCGATTTTGTGTGTAATTTTGTTCATATAAATGCTGTTTGAAGGATGAATATGAGGGATTATAGGGTTGTGTTTAAGGAAGGGCTGTTTGAAGGATGAATATGAGGGATTATGTGCGTTTTGTAGGAGTATCGTTGATATGATTAACATGGAAAATTCTGAAGGCTTTATGTAGTATTTTGTATGCTAGGGTTTGAGATTCTTTCTCTTTTCTTGTTTATTTTTATTTAACGTCTTTTAATTCTTTTTGAAATGATGGTTGTATGGTTATTTGTTCGATTTGTGTGTAATTTTGTTCATATAAATGCTGTTTGAAGGATGAGTACGAGGGACTATAGGCTGTTCGATTTGTGTGTAATTTTGCAGTGGGTACAAAATAACTCCGACTTTTGACGTCGCTGAGTCAGAAAAATTTCAGTGGGCAGAGTTTCATTCACCATTGTTAATCAAGTAGCAGTAGAGTTGAAGGACAATAGAACAATAGAGTGCAAGTAGTAGGAGCGTGATATTGAATTAGAAGAAAGTTAATTGGGAAATATCCCAAATTAGAAGTTGTACAGTAGTGCGCACACCACTAATGAAGATTGACTAAGCAACCAAAAAATAAATTAGAAGAAATTGAATTGGGGATTATCCCAAATTCGAACCAATAAAAAAAAAAAAAAATGGTAAATTGATGGTAGAAATTGATTGTAGGGATTAGAATGTAGGATGTAGAAATTGTTTTAGAGATTAGAATGGTTTTGGCTCCGATACCATGTCACGAAATAATTTTCCGTAGTTTCATTAGAGTGTAGAGTAGAGTATATATACAACCTAGCAAATAGATTAGAGCTCATGAGATAGGCCCGATAACTATACACTATACACAATAATAGGCCCTAACAGAAGGGCTGTTTGAAGGATGAATATGAGGGATTATGTTGGTTTTGTAGGAGTAACGTTGGTTTTATTAGCATGGAAATGTAAACATAGACAAGATTTTTTGGATTTTAAGTATTTTTTTTTTTAAATATGCCGTTTTGACCTGACAAATTTGTTGAAATTATTTTTGAAATTGTAGAAACGTGATGATGGTGTTTTGTGTCAGTTTATGGTATAAATCAATAAATGGTATAAAATATTATCCTTGTATATATATGGTACGATATAATTAATGAGGAGTGTATTAACTGTATTTGCTGTTAGCTTGATTGGTATACCATGAAGTTTGAGGGACTACTTATTGTCTAATTTAAGTGCCCTAGTGTTGTCTTGTAAATGTCTAAGTTCGGGAAGTGGGTGTATTTGGCCATGTAGAATGAATCCTAAGCTCATTTCTATGATAGCAAATGAATACCAGATCTTACAATTACAGATTTACAGTTATGCGCCTTGCGCATCTATGTATTGATTACAATTTTATTATACGAAGTAGTAGTTTGTAAAGTCATGCGTGTTTTAGGAATTGAATTTTCTTTCAGCTTTATCGTTATTTGTTTATTAATGCAAGGTTTGACCTCCGATTTAATTTCAATGAATAACAGGTATTCAACATGGGAATCTACTCCGATTGCATTATAAATGTTAAATCTCTTCCTAAAGAATACTTCTGTTCTGTGTGTCAACTTCTTGTCTACCCTAGTGAAGCTTTGCAGGCGCCATGCACTCACCTTTACTGCAAACCTTGTCTGACTTCTGTTAACAACACACATGCTTGCCCCTATCATAAATGCATGGTGACTGAAGCCAATTGCAAGGTGTGATGCCTTCACTATTTTAATTACAGTTGGTTTTCAACTGGTTATATAATTATATGGAGGATATGTATAGTGGATTTGTTTCTTTTTTTGTTACAGCCACTGCTAGAGTCAGACAAGGCTTTGGCTGATACCATTGGAATATACAAGTCATTTGCCTCTACAATAGGGTTGGATGTACATGGCAAGGTCCCTTGTCTGATAGCATATTTCATTGCTCTAATTGTTCACTTGGGGAGTCACCACGTCTATGCAACAGATGTGGTGTTCTGATTGTACGCCGCCTGATGCAAGAGCATCTACAAAGCTGTCAGGATGGCACATCCACAGGAGCTGTAGCAGATCAAACTCAGATTGCAGCTCAGGCATCACAAGCTTCTGCTTCGCTTGTTTATGATCAAGATAACCAAACAACTAGTTCAGCTGGGCAACCACAAGCTGCACAAGCTGCCATGGCAACTGTCGAACAGTGGTATCAGCAACACCAACAGTACCAGCAGCAAGGAGCAACGCTTAGGATTAAGAATTTGAGTTATAAAGCAATATTCCGGGGATTGAATGCTATGCTTAAAACCGCCATGGACAGGACTGATTTCCCAGTGGAGTTCACACTTGAAAATATAGGTACGATGCTGTATCATCATCAGTATCATGTGTCAGTCAAAGCAGAGAAGCTACGGAGGAGTTACAAAAAAATTGCAGCATTGAAGATAATGAACAGGTATAGTATACGGCATGCCCACCGCTGGTTGAGGTTGTTAACAGAAAAACAAGCACGCGATGCCAAAATACTGCAGAAAACTAAATTGCTTGTATCTCGTATCTGGCTCTTCGCTGATCGACAGTTGGCTGTAGCTGCAAAGAAGTTGAATAAAAATGATGAACTGGGAGTGAGAAATCTTGGTGATTATTTTGTTGGGAGGCGTTTGATCAAAAAATTTAAGTGGAAGGGGAATATGAGATTGTTTTTAGCTAGAAAAGATGTAGGTGTGGTTCGTGATATACTTGATGAAGCAATGTTTGATGATTTGTTCTCGAGAATCAATTTGGTTGGTCTTGAGGCAGAGAGTGATGATGGTGCAGAGAGTGATGCTGGTGCAGAGAGTTTAGACGATTCACCTAAATCTAAATTCGTGTGGGAACCCCCTTCAGACGAGGAACAGTAATGGTAAGTTATTGTATCTAATTGTGTATTTTTTTTTTTTTTTTTGAAAGTATCTAATTGTGTATTTAAAGGCATGAAAAGTTCCCTACAGTTTCACAAACTTGAAAAGAAAATAATTGTAAAGAACTATACTCTGTTTTTTCCCACAGGTTCTGCAGAGTGCTATTGGTGATTGATGTGGCACAAGGCGAGCGTCTGGCTGGCGAGCCACTGCCTTGAATTTTTGTTTTGCTAAGTCTTTTATACAATATAGGCTAGTACTTCGTATATGTTACTCCGTATATGCTCTTAAAATCAACGCTTCATTATTTGGAATGGAGTGAATAGTATATGTAAATTGATAAGCCATTGTTTGTATTCCCTACTCTTCTCAATTACTAGGGTGGCCTAAGTGCAGGACCTATATCATGGTTCATAATTTTGAAGTTAGAGCAAAGTCAATGCATTGCACACAAACTAAAAACTACTATAATGGTTGGGGGATCGAACTAACCTTCACATAGTAATCTGGTGGTGAAAAAGTATTCAAGTAAGTTTTACTAAAACCAAAGCGCCATGTAGAAATACAATAGTAGCTCATCCAGAACCAGAAATAATAATGATCCAGACCCAGATAGGGGTGGCAATTCGGGTTAGTGGGTCAGGTTCGGGTCAGATTTCGGGTCAATAGTGTCATTTTAAAAAAAAAAAAAAAAAAGTTAGTTAAAATTTAATTTAAATAAAAAGTACATTATACTACTCAAATCTACTAGTAGCTTAGTGGTTGGAACATTAACTTGTCTATCTAAGGTCAAGGATTCTAATTCCTTTCCCAACGTTTATATTTTTTCCTTTTTTTTTTAAACTTAATGTCCTTATTTTTTACTGGGATATCAAATCAGAAATAGAGCATAAAAGTGCATTGAATCAAAGTTGCAATAGAAGGAACTTTAAAAATTATAAGTATACATAAACATAATACATAAGACATAATACATTACACTTTTTTGACATAATTTTGAGTATACATAAGTAACTTTGCATTGAATTGGCTAGTTTCGAATCGGGGATATAATTATAAGAATGCATAACACATTAGTACATTACAAGTTTGTGACATTAACAATTTTGTTTATTAAAAAAAGGCAAAAACCATCATCACAAACCAACCAAGAACCCAAATTAAGAATGTGAACATATATACCTAGATGCCTATAGTCTAGTCTAGAACAAAAAAGTAGTGAAGGACAGAAAGCATCATTAAACAGGTTGAAAAAGGGTTGATGAGAAACGCTCAAATGCCCTATCAAAGTATTGTAGCAGTAATAAAAAAAACACCAAGGATTTACAGCCTCATTGCTCTATCCGTAGAGTTCAAGCTTAGGCAAAACTAGAACTACTCCATTGAAGAATCTGGAAGAAAACTTCAGTGTTTTAGAGAGAGAAACTCTCTTAGGTAACTTGAATGAAAAGAAAGAGAATGAATGAATCTCTAACAGAAGGCTTTAAGAGCCTATTTATTTCAGCAATAATACTTTAACTAATTAAAAGTTGTTATAACAAAAACGATTTGTAAAAACAAACTTGTAAGCTGACGTGGCCTATGAATCATCTTCACTATTCTCAACATGCCCACAGTGGCCCTTGGTATACAGAAGCACCAATCACCATTACGGACTTACCTAATCCATTAATTACGTGTTACAATTATAAAACGTCATATCAATTAATATGAGTAGTTTTTTTTTTTTTTTTTTTTAGTGTAGTGGTGATTGGGATTACACTTGGTAGGGATGATTCGTGTTCGATCCCCCGCAACAATAGTCGGGAGGGGACTGGAACCTAACCGCCCAGAACTGATCCTCGAATCCGGATTAGCCTAAAGGGTGAACCGGGTAGAACACCAAAAAAAACATACACTTTTACAATTTAAGAAAAAGGTGTTTCCACTTTTTTGTTGTCATTTTTTAAAATTATCATGATTTTAATAAGTTTGACTAGTTTTTGATTCATTATATAACATATATCATAAGATTTTAAAAAACAAAAAACTAAAAAACAGAAAACCACAGCAATGTCAAACGAGCCTTAAAAGTGATGTTAAACAAGTCTTGAATTGGCGGTTTTAATGTACACGTGTCACCACGTAACTGGTCAAGAATTAAAAAATAATAATAATAATAATAAGTTGGATGACCGGTTGAAATTGTTGTGTGCGATGAAGTATAAAGTTAGAATTATAAGAATAAAAATTTGCAAATTGCAGCCATTTAAACTTTGTATTTTGCAAATTGCAGCCATTTTAAAGTAAATATTGCAAATTGCTACTCAAAAGTTGTTATAAATTGTAAATTGCAACCCAATTTAATTTTTTCATCGGTTTCGTGTCGAAAAATGTTCGGTTAAAGTTTTAGCAACCATTTTAGTCCTTAAGGTTCCAAATTGAGCTCGGAATTGACAAAAAATTAACGTAAGTGCCTCGTTTTTACAGCAAAAAATAGTTACACACAAATCGATACATTTTTTTTACGCAAAATGAGGCACTTAGGTTATTTTTTGCTAATTTCGAGCTTAATTCAGACCCTTAAGAGCTAAAATGGCCCCTAAAACCTTAACCGAATATTTTTTGACACGCAAACCAATGAAAAAGTTAAATTGGGTTGCAATTTACAATTTATAAGAACTTTTGCAATCTTTTTTTAAATGGCTGCAATTTACAAATTACAAACTTTAAATGGCTGCAATTAGCAAATTAACAAAAGTTTGAATTATTCGGCAATTTTTGTAATAGTAGTATTTATATTTCAGAACACTTAATGTAATTATATTTTCCATCACAAATATCACAATTCAAAATCCCTTGACGAGTCTCTCTTAGGGTTGGCAAACGGAACGGGTCGGGTTTGTGTTCGAGTCAGCTAATTTCGGGTTAGCTACCCCCCAACCCGAACCTGATCTATTTAACTTTTTGGGTTGAAAATCCAAACCTGAACCTAGGGGTGTACAAAAACTGGCCCGGACCTGAAAACCGACCTGAACCGGACCTGTTGGGACCAGACCTGATCCGGACCTGTAGATTCAGGTTCGTTCCCGGTCCTTGAAATTCAAGGATTCCGGGTTTCAGGTCCGGTCCGGGTAAAACCCGAAAATTTCAGGTCCGGACCTGAAACCGGTAAAACTACTTTTTTTTATTTAATAAGTTTAAATAGGTCCATAAACAGGTCCAAACAGGTCCATAACAGGTCCATAACAGGTCCAAACAGGTCTAAACAGGTCAGCACTTTCGTATTATTTAAAAAAAATCAAAAAAAATAATCAGGTCTATTCAGGTCCAAACCCGGACCGGACCTGATTTTTCAGGTCTGGACCGGAACCGAACCTGTTAATTCAGGTCTGGTCTCCGGTCCTTAAAAATCAAGGATTCAGGTCCCGGTCCATTTCAGGTCCGGGTCAGGTCCGGTCCGGTTTTGGACCGGTGTACAGGGTTTGTGTTCGAGTCAGCTGATTTCTGGTCAGCTACCCCCTAACCTGATCTATTTAACTTTTTGGGTTGAAAATCCAAACCTGAACGACTGAACCTGATATTTTCGGGTTCGAGTCAACCCCAAATTGACCTGATTTTTTTATTTGGGTTAAAATCAGGTTTTATTTGGGTTAAAATCAAGTTTCTTTGATCTGAAATTGACCGAACCCGAACCAAAATTAAACAACATAGTCTAATAAAGTAACAATCCTAATTAACGATTACAAACCAATAAAAAGTATAATTAACTAATTACAAACCAAGTTTCAAAAGATACAAGGTTTTTATAACACAAATTACAGCTCTCAAACAATAATAGAAGATGCAATAAGGTTTTCATTAGGATTAAGATCGGGCGATGTTGTGCGCGTCATCCTTGGTCACCACCTCAAGCTTCAAAATTGATCACACAACATTTCCAATTGAACATGGGTGGCCATTACTTGCTGCCAAACCTATAAAGCAAAACAACACTAATATAATTAAAACATGCATATGATCTAAATCAGACTAGATCTAACTAGTAAGATCTAAATTAAAACATGCATGCTCATGAAAAACAGAAATAAACAACAAATATTAGCAAGAATCACCAGAACATAAACAACATTTAACAACAAAAATTACCATTAACATTCGAAGATTAGCAAAAACAACCGCAAAATAACATAAACAACAACATTTAACATCAGAAATTAGTAATAATATTTGAAAATTAGCATGTAAAAAGCGAAAATAAACCAAAGCAATTAAAAATAAAATTAACAACAGATGAATTCGAAAATAAATAAAAATAGCATGTAAAAAAACGGAAAAAAAAAAGAAAATAAATTAAGAAGCAAGATACCTTGATTGATAAAGGAGAGGATCAGAGGAACTCAGGAACGCGTCTCATGGAGGAGTGAAGGAGTCCCTCTGTGAAGGAGGTGATGAAGTACTCGAATTCAACAATGGTGAAGTACTCGGATTCAACAGTGGCACCATGCACACCCCAGGTGTACTATCCTATTTACCATGATTATTCAAATAAACAAATTCCATCATTTCTTTCTAAATTTTTTTTTTGAGGGAAATCAAATTTTATTATTTAGTTTACATGACACCGTCAACATACTTTTTTAATAACATATTTTTTAGGAAAAATGGAAAAGAAAAATCCAACCTTTTAACTTTTTCCTTATAAAAATCCAACCTTTTGATTATTCCTCAAAAATCCAACCTTTATACCCCTCATTCTCCAACAGATCCATTTGACCTTTAACCTGTTTAACAGGTTAAATTATTTTTTTTTAAAATTTATTTTATCACTTTCCTTTATCACTCCTCCTCTTTCTCTCTCCTAAAAATGGAAAACACCACCTAAGCTACGCCGGCGCCACCAATTTCGCCACCACACAACAACCTACCTTGCAGCCCCTGCTCGCCTCCCCACTTAGCCACCTCTATTGTACTTCCGGCAAGCATCCACCAAAAAAACCCACGAGTTTTGCCCAGAAAATTTAAAGACCACGAAACAAATTGAACCCATCTTTCTGTTTTTGAACCCACGATTTCCGGCGAGAACTAATTTGTGCTCAATTTGGAAGTGGGTTTTGTGGGTTCGTAGGAGGTGGTGGTTTTTGTGGGATTTCGTGGGTGTGTAGGTGGTGGTTTTTATGGGTTTTGTGGGTTCGTGGTAGGTGGTGGTTTTTGTGGGATTTCGTGGGTTCGTGGGTTCGTGGGTTTGGTGGTTGTTTGGTTATTGTGGCTGGCGAAGTGGTGATTACGGGTGGCGAATGGGAGCTGCAAATGACGGTTGAGGTTGGTGGTAATGGTGGACATTTGGTGTTGTGGGCTGTGAGTGGCTTGTGCGGGTGTGTATGGGTGGGTTGTGATTGTGGGTGGCGAGGGGAATGAGGTTGCTGGGTTTCGGTGGCTGGTGGA